GGGGGTTTTTAGTCAGTAAAAGTCTGACACTCTCTCTCGCTTACCCTGGGCGGGAGAAGACATTGGGTAATTTTCCCCTGACAAAAAAGGTACATGTATTATTAAAATATTAAGTATGGAACACTCAGTAATTATTGGAATATTGAATTTTATTTTATTGTTTACTGTTTTGTCCAAAATTATCACAATATAAGCGTTTGGTGCGGTGGCTGGGCAACTGGCTGCCGTGCAACGTGTCGCGGGTTCGATTCCCGCACGGAACAACTGTTTGTGTGATCCACAAATTGTTGTTCCGGGTCTGGGTGTCATGTGTATGTGAAATTGTATGCGGGATCCACAAATTGTTGTTCCGGGTCTGGGTGTCATGTGTATGTGAAATTGTATGTTTGTAACCGCACCCGCGACACAGGAGAATATCATAATGTGGTTAAACGTTTTATAAAGAAAGAAAAAAAAAGAAAGAGAGAAAAAAAAGCACAATATCACGTAGAATACATTTTAAAAACTTTTTTTATCTATTGGACACATTTTGTTTATAACAAATGACAATCGGTCACTATTAATATCTTTCACTTTCACACAAGTTTAGGGAACTTATTAAAAATACTTCGCTTCTCAGACAAGAAGCTTGGTGAGCAGACATAAATTTGCATATTACCATCTCATTTAGTCCAATCATTATTCGCTGACTCAGACTCTAATGCAAATGAGCGTTCAACAAAATCATAGACTGGTATCATCTTCGCTGGGTCGAGGAAGACGTCTTAATAATCTTGTATAATAATCTAGTTCTTATTTATATGACACTAAGATTTTTAATTGCGAAATTTTAATACTTACTGGCGTTGTTGCATTACTATACTATACAACGAGCTACCTAGTAATGTTTTGATTTCCCTACGAATTATCACAATGTAGCCAAAACCTTCCAGGTATAACTTAATCAAGCCAGGGTTACGGGTTAAGCGCAATGAGTCACCGCGGCCTCCGCCTAGAGCAAAAGAAGGAGTGGGGTGTTTTTAGTCAATAAGAGTCTGACACTCTTTCAATAAGAATCTGACACCCCCTCTCGCCTCGAGAGATGTCATTTGATGATTTTCTCATCTAAAAATTATTATTAAAAAACCAAAATACCCGACTGCACACTAAAAAAAGAGAAAAACAAGCCCCACAATACAAATTTACTGAATATAATTTATAAATGTTGATGGAAAGCATCGCAGGCGGGGACCAACAGAGGCTTATTTATAGTCATTTCTGTTGTGCACCATTTAGCAGAATTTTCGTTGGTGGCGGTCAAGGTGGTCCCCGCCTGCGATGCTTTCCATCAACATTTATAAATTATATTCAGTAAATTTGTATTGTGGGGCTTGTTTTTCTCTTTTTTTAGTGTGCAGTCGGGTATTTTGGTTTTTTAATAATAATTTTTTTATTTATAACTTTTTAGCTGTTTTTATTTAACGATTTTATTTAACGTATGTTCCCGTGGGAATTTTGAGAAAAAACGTATCCTATATTAATTACTCCCGTGATTGAAATGAATCTAATGATACCGCATACATATTTTTTTAAAGGGAAATTTAGAAAAAATATTATTATGTCTTTATCCCGTGGGACTTTTAGGATAAAATGTATCCTATGACATTCCCGTAATCAAGACAAATCTAACAATACCTCATACATCAAAATCCATCAAGCCGTTTAGGCTACAGGAGGTCACAAAGGAAAAGACATACATACATACTTACATACACTCGAAAAACATTACCCTCCTTCTTTGGCAGTCGGGTAAAAATACAGGATAGCTTAATGTTATCACTACTTTAATACATATATGGAGAATTCTAGAATAAAAGCTCATTTTGAAATGAAAAACTATATAAAAATTCGTCTCTGTTTTACAAATATTGTGAGATATTCGATCTGTCAAGTGTACACAACATAATGTAACCAAACACGTATTCATGTGTTCACGTTTCCATTCGAAAGAGTTTCGTATCAATTGGGAAATGTTGTTGCCAGTATCACATTTATTTCAGGCGGATTTTACTTTAGCGACTCCATATCGAACATTTTTTTGCGATTGAATATAGACCTTATGTACTTATGTATAGGTTTATGCAAACATGATGTTGATGTTGTCTGGTCGTGTTTTATTTATTGTAAGTAAGGTACATGTCACATGTGTACATGCGGTAAATGTCGTGGTGGCCCGGAGGTTAAGGAGCCCGCTTCTCATGCATGAGGATGCGGGTTCGAAACCTGGCAAGTACCAATGTGACTTTTTCCGAGTTATATGTACTTTCTATGATTATTTAGACACCACTGACATACGGTGAAGGTAAACATCGTGAGGAAACCTGGACTTATAATTTCTAATTATAAGTTTGAAATCGCCAACCCGCATTGAGCAAGCGCGGTGATTAATGATCAAACCTTTTCCGTGTGAGAAGAGGTCTTTGCTCAGCAGTGGGCACTTATGGGTTGAGGATGTGAAGTAAGGTACATATAATAATTATGTTGGATTGCAATCTTCCTGAATTGGGTATAAGTGTGTTTTTAATGCAATAGAGAGAGATAGAGAGAGAAAGAGAAAGAAGACGTATCACCCCATGGTAAGTGATCAGCACCGCCCATGGACCTAAAACACTAAAGGAGTCACAGGCACTCTTTTATAAAAGATTTTTTTTATACTGAGATTTTATCTATACTAATATTATAAAAAGGTAAAATTTGTTAGTTTGTAAGTTTGTATGTAGGGGGTAATCTTTGGAACCGCTGGTCGGATTGCCAAAATTCTTTCACTAATAGATAGCTACAATGTCCCTGAGTGCTATACGCTATAAAACATCACGCTACGATCAAATGGAGCTAAGCACGGGTGAAACCGCGCGAGAATAGATATACTTTATATAATTATTCCAATCCGTACATGCCAACCTGAAAATCGTTCATGTTCTACACGTTGCCATAAACGTCTTATGAAAGATTCGTTTCAGGAAGCGTTTTCCTTAAAAGAAGTCATATGTACAATGTACAAAATATCCGTAATCTATTTATGTCGTAAAAGCATTGTGACACGATCATAAAAGTTAAGCCTTTTCTGTCTTCATTTAATATTTCCTGAATATAATGTTTTCCTGTTCAGTCTTTGTTTCCTATTATATTCTTTGTGAAATAAGATTTACATATTCACTATTTTCGGGTTATAAAAGTGTCAGAAATAAAATTATATATACTTCAGTTCTTATAAATTCATTATAAAGCTTTTTTAAAGCTTTATAATGAAAAATTTTTTGTTGCCATTTTAAGGATATGAATATCAACAAATGGAGAGTCAGTAATAGTCCACTTCTGATAATAGGCAACTTTATTTACAGGATAGGGTGGCAAGTGAGCAGACGAATCACCTGATGTTAACAATCCGAGTCGCCTTTGAACACCCGTAACATTAGTGGAGCCTTTTAAGGATTGCAGATCGGCATGAGGGGTAAGTATTTGGCCTCCAGTATCCTCACAACAACACAACAGAACGTTGCTTAACAGATAACTAATGTTGTTTTCTGTGAAGACGTGCACTCTTGACGAGCCGGTCGCTCAAATAACAATTCTTCATAAAACAGGGTCTTTTACGTTTGGCAGGCAAAAATAACCCATTGCTATATCTGCTTGAAAGGAGGCTCCTTACAAGTTAGAATAATTTTTTGACATTATATAGATAAAATAATGCTCAGTGCCGTGGCGGTGACCTTGAGGATAAGACACAGCTTCTCATGCATGGGGGTTTGAAACCTGGCAAGTACCACACTGCGACTTTTTCTGAGTATATGTACTTTCTATGTTTATTTAGATACCACTGACATACGGTGAAGGAAAGCATCGTGAACCTGGACTTATAATTTCTAATACGCCTTGAGCAAGCGTGGTGATTAATGCTCAAGTCTTTTTCGTGTTTGAAGATACCTTGCTCAGCAGTGACCACTTATAAGCTGATAATGTGATACTCATAGTCCAATTAACTGTTTCAGTATTTCAGTGTATAAATACATAAATGCCAGCTGTTTGCATTCCCAACAAACAATCAGATGAACGGATTATGTGTCCCAATACTAACGAATTTGTCACACTAAGCCCTGTTGATCTCTGATGAAATAATTCATTATTTATTCATATATTTGTGGTATTTACATGTAAATATGTTTTCCGCGATGTAGGGTTGATTACACGTTAAAAAGCACTTTGTACTCGAATTTAAAATTGAACCGTTTTTTCCCTAAAAGTATTAATGCTGAATTTGAGTTTCATGCATTTTGTTTATCATACTATGTAATATGTTTTGTGGCTTCTTAATTCGAAAGCTGGCAAGAGCAAATATGACTTTTCCGAGTTATATATACTTTGTAATTTTGTTTAAATACAATTGGTCAATGGTGAAGAAAAACATAATAAGAAGCCTATGGCGAAAGGGAGTGACTCTTACTGACAACTTCTTTGTTCCCCTGCTGCAGGCCGAGGCCGCGGCATCGTATTGCACTTGCTTAGCAACAACGGCTGAACATCGGCCTTGTCAGGCAAAGGCACGCGAAAATCGCTGCGTCTTGTTCTGGTGGGATGCCGAGCTTGCCTGCCGACCGCAGACTCGCGCTTATGTTGGCCGGAGAAGGACCACCAGTGAGGTTGAGTGAATGATGATGACACGTACAAAAATATTTCCTGAAATGTCCTGTCTTAACCTATGATAGCAACTGACCTAAATATTAAGTTTAAATACTGTTAGGACGGGCACTATAGTCCTGGGTATAACTTCGAAGATCTTAAATAATTTAAGTCCCAACACGTTCAAGGGATTAGTGGCAAGGAAATCCAGGGTTAGGACCTAATGGGGAACGATGGAAGCAATTTAAACGATTTTTACAAAATTAAATAAGAGTTTATGTTCTTCATTTACTTTTATTGTGCTACTTGTAAACTACTTTCTAATATTTTAAACGTACAATAATTCAATGCATAAACTTATATTTTCCTAATTTCTTTTCGGAAGTTTTCTTTAAAAGCACTTCCTTATGAGAGATGACAAACACTTTTTCCTTTTTCTTCTCTTTTTCTTTCGGTGCGATATGATTCTTGCAGAAGGAACAGAAGATTGCATAGAGAACTTCTAGAAGATACCAGATTAGTTCTATGACGCTGATTACAGATCCACCAAGGCAGAGTCCGAATATACCGCCAAGATTAGCTGAAATATATTTTAAACATTGATGAGTTGAGTGTGACAAAAATTGTATGTGTAGCTTAGTGTTTTAATACAGAATTTAAGGTATTTATAAGTTAAGCTTTCAAGATATTATTACGCCAACAGTTATAATGAAATCGATAGTTATGTCTGAGACCAAAATAAATAATAATGTATGTAGGCAGTTTCTCCTAATCCAAATGAGGAAATCTCTAGATCATTACTCGTATCCTTGATAATCGTGACACAAACTATATTCTTATTTGTATAATACATATAGATTGTATTTATTTTAGGATATTTATGACCAGTTGGGTACTTGAGAATAGGAATGGAATTGTTAAAAATATCCGAAAAATAATCTAGATATAAGGCTTGCAAGGCACATTTTCGTTTACTGCATACTCATTTTATTATATCAAGTGCGAAAATCATGCTTTAGCACTAATGGGCCGGCTCGGCCCGGAAAACCGGTTTGAAAAAGGAATGACCTCCGATAACCTCACTCAGCGGTTTGAGTAAGGTTACCGGAGGTCATTCTTTCCCCTTCCTATATCTGTGAAACCCTTATCCCAAAATTCCAGCAATGTACTCGTATCTCCTCTGGTATTGTAGGTGGCCATAGTCGGCTGAAGATTGCTTACCTACCATCAGGTAAATAGTCTGCTTGTTTGCTGAGCTATAACATAAAAATAAAATCATTTTTCCTACTCCTCCCTTTCCAGAAGACAATATTATAAAATTTGCATTAATATAATTTTTGACAGTATAACTCATGGTTTATCTGAGAGAACACGAGTCGTGTCGTGGTCATTCATGCAACAGGTCATGTGAAAAGGCAAAATAGCTCCGCACTACACAGTTCCGCTCTACCCAGCTCCGTTCTGGCCAGCTCCGTTCCACCCGGCTACGCTCTACTGTTAGCGGAGTAAGGTGCCTCCACCTTACTCCGCTAACAGTAGCTCGCTTCGATATAATGGTAAAACCTGCCACTTTTTCTAGTTCCGCAACGCTACACCATATCTTAGTTTTCTATATTAACACATATTTTTCTAAAAATACGTAACTTCGTTTACAAAATAATAATATTTTGATTAACGGGAGAGACTTTCCTCATTCATTATACATTTTATGTGAGAGTACATTTTTAATGAGCTGAATTCATGGTCCTTACGACAGGAAAAACATAAATATTTTTACTTCAGAACGAAGGTAACACCTATTTTACTGTAGTCCGCTTCTTTAACAACCGTGATAATATATTTACTTCACAGTATACAAACAAGCGATTATGTACTTTAAACTAACGTAAAAAGCTGCTTTTTATTTTGACCTACAAATTATACAAGTAAAGTGGAGATTGTTTACTTTTGTTGTTTGTTGGACGAAAGACTTTTAATTAGCTTGGTATTTGAGTATTTTTAGGAAAAAAACTACGTTTAAAAAAACCGACTTCAAAAACAAAAAAGTGTCAAATAAGTAATTAAAATTGATATTTTAATAGCACTCTTACGTACGCGAAGCTAATACTTTTAATATTAATAATAAAACACTATCAATTTTATGTGCTACCTATTCATAGGTTTGAAGTCGGTGCCAAGCCTAATACGTAATATAATAAGCATGATTACATGAGTACCTAAACTCGCCGGGCGCGTTTGAATTTATTTGAAAGGATTTAAGAAATTTAGTACCGATTTTCTAACTTGATGGCGTTAGCGTAGAATCAGAAGTCTATATGGTTTCGTTACCGGCGAAACTGTATATAGCTTAGAAAGATATTTGGATGAATTATGAATTCTGAAAGTTTTCTCGTACTTGGTTGTTAAAAGTAGTAGTCGGTAGCTGCGTTGTTAGTTGTGGAAATATCGTCTTTTAGCAGTTAAACAGTCTTAATTCTCATTTAGTTTTATTCTGTTTAGGGCTTGGCACCGACTTCAAACCTATAAATAGGTAGCACATAAAATTGATAGTGTTTTATTATTAATATTAAAAGTATTAGCTTCGCGTACGTAAGAGTGCTATTAAAATATCAATTTTAATTACTTATTTGACACTTTTTTGTTTTTGAAGTCGGTTTTTTTAAACGTAGTTTTTTTTTTTTCTTTTTAGTGTCTGTTGCAAGTTTTTCTGTAAACTACAGTAACATTTTTAATATAAATTAACTTAATGAATAGTATATATTTTTAAGTAGCTATGTGTAGGCCAACGAAAGAAGCCGCTCGATTAAAAAATATAGATCCCAAGAAATGGAAAAGTTCTCATCATCATCATCATCATCATCATCAGCCATTTTAATGTTCCTACTACTGGGAGACAGGCCATCTCTCTAGGAGAGGGAAAGTTCTTAACAATATAAATAAATTAAGTCCAAAAACGAGGTAGCTACTGTAAACCGTTGAGGAGTTCCCTAGACTGTCGTTTGTCTTCATCATCAGATCCCTAATGACAGTCACAATCCATCGAGGTGTAAAGTTCTTATCAAAACGAATAAATTAAGTTCAAACACAAGGAAGCTGCTAGGAATCGTTGAGGAGTTCTCTCGACTGTCTCTCGTTTCCATCCGGAATTCCCTCGACGGTCAATTGTCTCCATCATCAGGTAAACTGCAGACCTTCAGTTGTTATGATACATACCTACAGGTACAAAGTTTTCATCAATATAAATGAATGAAGTTCAAACACGAAGTAGTTACTGTAAACCGTTCAGGAGTTCCCTGAGCTGTCCTTCGTTCTCATCATCAGACCCTTAATGACAGTTACGACCAAGCCTGCTGCAAAGTGCTCGCCAATACGAATCATTCAAGCCCAAACACAAGGCAATTACTCCAAATAGTCAAGGAGATCCCTCGACTGTCTTCCGGCTCCAACATCTGGTAGACTTTGATCTTCGTCAAGTTGTAGTGTTGTTAAAGGCCTACTTAAACATCATACAAAAAACCTACTCGCCCCTACAATTTTCGAAAGTTCCCCTCGGATTCTCCAGGATTCCATCATCAGATCCTGACCTCATGACAATGGGACCAAATGGCAAGTATACCCTATTGAATAAAAAAAGAATTTTGCAAATCGGTCCAGGCGTCTTCGAGTAATCGGTGTACATACATAAAAAAAAAAAAAAAAAAAAAAAAATACGCGTCGAATTGAGAACCTCCTCCTTTTTTGAAGTCGGTTAATAAAATTATCCGGGTTTGTTTTTTTTTTGCTGTAAGAATATTGTTTGACATCGTCATTAAGTAAAAAATGATGGACGTAGTAAGGAACTCTAATTTGTTTTTAACTCACATTTAAATTTGTTTATACATTAAGTTATATTTCTTTTTTGCTTACATAAAACAAAATATTACTAACTAGCTACTCTCGCGTGGTTTCACCCGCTGCTCAGCTTCACGATCATTGTAGCTATCTATCAGTGAAATAATGTTGGCAATCCAACCAGCGGTTTCAAAGATGAGCCCCTACTTCAAACTTACAAACATACAAACTTACAAATTTTACCTCTTTATAATATAAGTATATATAGATATATATATAGATATATATATATATAGATATATATATATAGATATATATATAATATAAGTATATATATATAGATATAGATTTACTTAACTAATTATTAGCAAAATTAGTATATCAATAAAAACAATTTAGAAAACTGTAAGGTTTTTGATACGCTTGAGAATATTTACAAAGTTTTGCTTCGAGAACATGTTCCTTGAAAGTATTCTTAAAAACTAAGCAATAAAAAAGTTTAAGGTCCAGTCACAAACTTACCTAACATCTGGTCCCAAGTGTAAAGAACCTCTCTGCGATACTTCATACAAGTGTTCTGACTAAAATGTATCAGCACACGGCTGTAAGATTCGTTCATCGCGCTGAAATGTAAAACATAAGGTAATAAAGGTAGCCAGCAAGTTTTCTGACGACTTGTTTTCTGCTACTGGATTAGTCTTTTAGTGTAATGATAACATGTTATGCTACTGGATTAGTATTTCTATCATTATTCTACATTGATAACTTTAGAAGATTTTTGATTTACCCTATTCACCCTTTTTTATCAGAATAAAACTAAATTTTCTGTATTACTAGGCGTTACTAGCTAGTTAGCTACAAATTCTATGACTGGGCATTAACACCTGCCTGGAAGCCTAGTCTAAAATCTGCGCACAATATTACAAGTATGGAGTTTAACAAAAAGAGCACGGTATGTAACAAGGTTTGCATCGATCTGGTATTTGAGCCCAACTATGCAATAATTAGGCAATGAGGCGAACGTGCCGTCGCAGTTAGAAAAGTGAGCGGGCGAGTTACACACATATTATGTATACCGGATTTTCGTGTGCTTTTGTTTGGTTTTTTTTTTAATCTTGCTGTGCCTGTCAACGTATTTTCTAGTGTAGCAGGTGCGTTCAGATGGACGTGGCGTCCATCTTAACACACGATACCTAGACTCGCTTTGGCCATACTAAACAATTACAGCAATAAATAGAGCTTCTATATTATGTAGTGCCCGTAATAAAAATCGCTTGTCGAAAATAAACTATAACAGAACTTATGCGATATCAGGGTAAGAGATACAGCTTCCTTATTGATGAATAAACTAAGTAATAAAGAGCTTCGTTCTTACAATATTAGTAGAGGATACAACAGGAAATCTTTCCGTAGGTCCAAGGAAGCAATGTTGACCTTAATGTCCCATGGGACAACAAATAAAGTGGCACAGACAGATACTGGCGGTATCGGGCCTCTGGGACCCATAGGAGTTACTATGTTTTCCTAACCTGAGATATTATACCTTCTAGATTGATCTGTGACAGATTCCATATTGCTTTTTCCGAGAACTTATTCCACTATAACATTATATTTCGGGAATAAAACATATTTACTTGTACTTGTTTCTTTAAGTAATTGTGCTGTTGAATATAATGTTGTTATCGTAACAAAGGAATTTTTTTTTGCCAATATTGTTATTATGCTAGTTGAATAAGTTACGTTGTAAATATTTTTTTATATACGACGTATTCATTTTATCATCCCGTGTATCTTCAATAGTCGTCGAAAAATGAATCAAGCTTCTATTTATTCTCAAATAAAGTAGTGTCTGCTAAGTAAGAACTAAAATAAAAACTACTAAATAATATAGCTAGGATTATTCTTTCTCAGCCGGGGTTGCCTAAAGCAGGTGAAAAGTCTGACACGCCTTCTCGCCCCACCCAGGGCGGGAGTAGAGATTGGATGATTGTAATCCTGTCCTCTCAAAATAAATTATTTAAATTAAAACTAGATATCTGTCTATTCAGCCATAGCCAAAAACATTAAAAACTTATTTTAATACTCACGTCAAATGCCTTTGATGTTTGATAAATTCAACTTCACTATCATACTCCACGTAATCACATCTCTGATAGCACTCACTATCCGATATTATATCCTTTATGTCAACTTCAATCATGTCTGTAACCAAAGAAAATATTAGTATATCGAACACTTAAGCTAGGAGACTAAAGAAATATTTATTTTTTCAGTTCTTCGCAACATTGTAATCATTGATATTAATCTATCTTGATTACAGAGCCTTTGATCTAAGGGTAGTTCGTCAAGGTCTTTCATGGTTTTGGGGTTATTTAGCAGATACTGACGGTATCATTATATATTATATCGGATCTTAAACATAGTATATTTTGGTCCTTTAAACGTTTTGTAATTTTAAATAATTAACTATCTTTCCAAATAATATTTTGGTAAAATAAAGCAATTTATTGTGTCCTTTATTTATTTCAAAATTATTTAATATTAGTTATTAAAAAAAATTAAATGCTTTATAATAAAACACGTTTACAAATAAATATAAATGATAGTATGGCACCGGTATTGCCACCTGGTCAGGGGTCCAGAGAAAGGAATCTCCAGACACTACGCGTCGCGTCCAAAAGTAGGTACTGCCTTCTACATCAGGACCTTGATCTAACCTTCTAACGTTTACATATTCAGATGTTAGCCATGAAGCCATTTGCAGATACATATGTGCACATCCCAAACCTTGAGCAAAATCCAAATATTTATGTACTTGCTTTATCTTTTTCAGCTTTCACGAGATTTGCGCCATGTGGGATTGATATGTCAATTATCGTTGTCGATCTATATTACAATGTTTGTTGGCAACAACTTTACTGTCCTATCAGTGTTGACAGTTCGATCCCAATACAGTGCCACATATTTACTATCCAAAACTGGGCCATGTAGTTACTTATAGTTAGACACTTCTGATTTAAGAAGTTTGTATGTAATCCCCAATTATGTCCGAGGGCTGATTTTTTTGTCTTTATAGACGTGTATCTTTTTGTATCACTTGTGTACGTTATGCTTATCCTAATGAGTCGGCAAATGTAAGAGAGGTCCTCAAGGAAAGTAGGTAATAACATTTAATCCCTATTTCTTTTTGACTTAGTGCTAACTGCTATTCGGAAAGATATTGTAAGGAAGGAAAATTACTTAATTAGTAGCAGGATAAATTTCACCTCGTCATGGTTGCTAAGAAACTAGGCATATATTTCATTATTTTCTTACTTGTAGGTACCGTTAAAAGGGCACCTTTTAATTATTTCATTAAAATGAAAATAGCTTTGAGTTTAAATAGACGAATGTCCGACGAAAATTATCTTCAATGAAGAATTTTAGGAATCTTAGAGAGGTAGTATCTCCCTAAATACCTTGTGACTTGTTAATTTTTTTTATAAATGTTTCTGATGAACGATGTCTCTTAGAATTAAGCGTTTGCCGTGCCCATCCATCTCATATAATTTATTCAGACCTGTTAGCTACACAAGTATTCGTATTTCCAGAAACCAACACATTTCATTTGTATTCATGATAAATATTCAGACTTATTAATTCATGAGAGTTTTAAAAATATAACAAATCTTGATTTAGGGACCTGAATATGTTTATTGAGTCAAACGACGTTTTTTCCTTTTTTATTCAAATTGCTCAATATTAAGTACATTTATGTTTGAATCTTGTGATAGGTAATACTTTTCGTAGAGGTTAATTAGTTCTTAGGGATCTACAGCTAGCTTATTGAGAGAATACGGGTTTCACAGAAATGCTGATGGTGAATTGTGGGTTTTAGTGATATGTAAGATGCACACTTGTTTTTCCCTATAATTAACCTACCTTTAAGTAGGTAGGTAACCTACCTTTGAAGGCATTCCAGAGTTGTGAAAGAAATTGTTAAGGTGTTGCTGTTATTAAGGAGAATACTTCGTATAATTATATTATACCGTACAGTAGTTTGCTAGGTGAATAGAACATTTTTTAGTATTAGAATTTGTACTAAATCTCTATAATTTCGATAAGAACCACCTCTAAGTAACAAATCGTTGTTGAAAAATATTTAATTAAAATCATTACTCACCTATTGTTTGATAGATGCAAATATAATGTTCCCAGGAACAGATACTAAAATCTTCTACATCCAGTTCTTTGGCTGGAACAAAGACAAATAACATATAGGGAACAAACTTACGTACCTATACTAATGCCATATAGGAAAACAAGTGCAAAAAAAGTTACTTTTCAAATTATATTTTAGTAAATTTTCAGAAAAACTTAAGGCAAAAAATATGTACAAATTCACCTGTGATTAGACATTAAAAACATATTGCTAAAACTTAGGTACATTAAAATTAGATAATTTATAGCGAGACCCTTCCTCAATAAATGGACTTATGAACAAAAAAATAATATGTAGTTCAATTCACACTTAAATAAAATAGTTCTTGTTTAGTTAGTAAGTTTATAATCTAATATTCATGTTTACTTTATAAGTAAACCCAATTACTAGAAGAGACTCAATAATACTAGGGGAACATACAGACATACATTTCTAGCTAAAAAGTTTTATTATAAAATGTAAACTTTTTGCAAATGGTCTAATTCCTATTCTAGGAAAAGTTGCGAGGCTGTTACAAATAAACCTACATACAAATTGTACAGGATTTACCATAAATAAAACTGACATCAAGTTGAGATACCAACGCTTTCCAGCGAAACAAAACATTTTGAGCAGATTTCGTTTTATTAAATGCACGTGTAGTTATTTAATAAAAGAGTAGGTACCTTGCACTTTTATTGCACAAATATAAGCGGCTCAAAAAACGTATGGTCAAAGTCGATAAAACAAATGAAGTATACCACAATCGGACACTTCTGTATGTTTACCTAAATAAATATTATGTAATCACAATAATGCAATAAAATTAATAATCGGGTATTTACATCTTAGAGGTACACAAAACTAATAAGAGCAATTAATACGATTAGTTTTAGATAGTCAACTCTAAAAAGTTAACATGTTTTATTCTAAAAACATAAAAGCTTTCGCATTCGCATAGGATTAAGTTAACTTATTTAAGATGTATAATTTTATTTCCTTGTTAATATCGAACAGAGATGCACCTACCACTCCTATTTCTCCACCACCCAATGGTAAACTGGCAGAGAACGCCTAAGGCGTTAAGTCCGCCATTGTACGTTGTGCAAGAAGTGTTAAATAAATGGCAGGATAAAGACTTATTTCGCAATTAAAGAATTTGATACTTACAAGTGAAATCGAAAGGCAGACATCGACAACGATTAACGACTCTCCTCAGAATCAGACGCGTCATACATCCTTGGTGAAAGCCAGCAAATGTTCCTTGATCCTAAAAAGTTACAATAAAAGGGAAAGAACTAAATATACAGGTTTAATTTCTGCATCAGCCGAAGTGATAGCCGGAAGTTCATTTCTAAAGAGCTAGTTTCTCAAGCACGAAGTTGCGTGTTCAAAACCTGACGTAAATATATTCTTTCAGAGTTTTTCTCCTGACATACATTGAAGAAAACCATCTTAAATAAGGCAATCCGCCTTAAGCAAATATGGTGCCTAATGTTCAAATCGATTGAAATGGAGCCACTGCACTTACAGGCTAATGATGTGTGAAAAGTAAAACCAGCTGCTTCAACAATAATTTGTGTCGCATGTAAAAAGCGTCCGCAATAACAACGTGACAGTGACATTATAAATACCCGAGCTTAAAGTGGGCATTAAAATGTAACGTTTCGTACGACAACGGACCAAAAACTTGAACAATGTCGTTTAGTGCGAAGAAATTTCTTAATATTTAATACTCTGAGTGTTTTATGAAGACAGATTTAACACAAATCTTTTATAAACTTCAACGAAAAACATTTTAAAATATACTCTTTTCAAATTATCTTTTTCCACGCGTCGGTGATCGAAAGTTGGTGGTATTCTTTATCACTTTTTTATTTCTAAAGTAGGTACTCAGTCTTGATTTAAAATTAAAGTTTGCCAGTTTAATACTCAAACTCGTAAATTTTACTTATTTTGACTCAGCTGCCAATAAATTGTTAGCTGACGCGAATAATCCGAGCATCGAAGAAAACTCGATAGTAATCTTATTAATCCACAATCAAAGATAGCGTTGAAAAGGGTGTGGCAAAGATTAATTGAACTTTCCAATCAAACCGGGTATCGAGGTAGCTCGGAAGTTGAGGATTCTCAAGCATGAGGGCGCAGATTCAAAACCTGGCAAGTAAGAAAGAGACATTACCCGCGTTATATGTAGATACTTACTGTCTACTAAGTTAAGACACAACTAACAAACGGGGAAGAAAAACCCCGTGGGGAAATCTGGACTTGTAATTTCTAATTATAAGTAAATTTTTTTATTAAATTTGCACAGACTGGAATAACCCATAGGCTTCTGTTGACAGAGTGACGGAGGCGATGCTTGTTACTACAACGAGTAATTCAATAACATTATAGGCTTAGTAATTGACAAATTACTAATTACATGAAGATAAATTTATTGCTAGTCAGCTGCGCGACTGCTTCGCGATGCGACGCGGTGTCGGCCCAGAGCAGGAGAAGGCACAGGGGTGTTTAGTCAGTAAGAGTCTGACACTCCCTCATGCCACGCCCTGGGCAGGAAAAATCATTGATGATTTTCTTGTCACAAAACAAAGGTCGCCTTATATTCATCCATGTATTAACTGTCAACTTTTTATGTAGCAATACATATGTTACATAATTATACACGAAATTTCCTATGTAAAAATATTGTTTATCTTGTTTGTATACATATTATATGTATGGGAAAATTATATCTGTCTATAACCAAAGCTATGAGGTACTTAAGAAAGAAGAAAAGTCAAAGTACTACTTACCTTGAATTTCCTTCTAGAATTTTCTCGTCGTGGAATTTAATAAAAAATCTAATAAATAAGCAGTAAACAGACAATAGAAAAATACCTACATTAGTGTAGTCAAGAAGGTTTGAAACTAGACGCTGAAAAATTTGTTTAGCGAGTAGTTCTTCATAAAAACTATTATTTCTATTTACTTTACTAACGCTTAATTAAAATTTTATTGTAAAATCCTAAAGTCTAAATTAAATACTAAAAATTGTATCAAACGGAGCGAGGATTAAAAATGTTTGATTTGTAATTTAATATTTTGTAGTTTCAGTTCAATTTTGATAAACTTTAATCTTCAAATTGAAGGAAATCTTTAAACAATGAAATTGAATTGAAATAAACCTGGGGTTGATGGCCAGTCTCAGACTTTGTTTAGTTTGGAGAAAGATAGACGTCCCGCCCCCGCGAAGTATTCGCTGCGCTTGAAAAAATATCTCCGTACAGCTAGCTTAAGATATACAGTTGTCACACAAGTCTTGACTTCTTCGAAATTCATGCGATTTTGTGTAGGTACCATATTTTTTTTAAAACATTGCCCTGCACTGGGATATTGTCCTGTGTCGCTGGTGCGTTTACAAGCATACAATTTCACATGCACATCACACCCAGACCCGGAACAACAATTTGTGGATCACACAAATAGTTGTTCCGTGCGGGAATCGATCAGTTGCCCAGCCACCGCACCAACCGTGCAGTCAAATCATGGATTTTTTCCCATAACTTCTCCGTAAGATCGTAGACCTACATAAGTATCCCTAATGTATATTATATACTTGTTTTAATATGGATTATAACGATAATTGTTCTTTACTACATATTATAAAACAGTCACTTTGTGTATCACAATATCCCTATGCACGCTTAAATCAGTATAACTGAGCAAAGGAATGTGGGCTCTTTTGAATAGAGAAATTGAAAAGGAAGATTTAATAGTAAACCTTCCTCTTCTTCTTAAATAATGGATGCACATAATATTTTTTGTACATTTCAATTTTTTTCCTTATATAAAAAAATTAAAGCCATGTAGGCTATTTGGATTTCTCACTTGACCGTGTGACGAACTAACTCGTCTACTTTCAAGCATACGTCTGGTTTCACACACAGGCGTACATTGGATATTGTAGGTCCGACATAGTAAGTACTGGTACGTTACTTAAAAGAATGGCAAATAAGCCTTTGTGCAGTCCTTCCTGTAATCTGTAATTTTTGAAAAACATATGAACTCAAGTTAACAATCATAGTATCAATTCTTTTTATTCCTCTCACACAAGCCACATAGAACCTATACTACATGTACATGTCAAAGTATGTATCACTCAACGGTTGCTTTATATGCTAATGTCTTTACAGTCTTTAGTAGAGATAACATTTCACAGAATAATATCCCCGGTTGCGTTCCAATTAACGCATCAAAGCGTCGTGCGGTATACCCAATAATATTACTCTTGTATTCCTTTATAAAAGCGCATTGGTTTGATGCACACTTTACTTTGTTGTGGTTGATCCAGAGGTATTCAAATTACCTTTTCGGGAAAAGGCAACTCTTGAGTGCGAATTGAAACATATCGTTCTTCAATAATTATTACTTTGGTATTAGGTGTTACAAAAAGTAGGTACTAGGTACCTCATAATAATACTTACTGTATTGGTATTTTATTGGCATGGGGATGTTACTGTGTTAATCAAAATTAAAATTAATATGAACCTCTTTCGTTGCTTGAAACCAGTTGAACAGCCTTCTCGATCGTAAAGAATTTCTCTAACACACTTATTAAAAATCTATGCAAATAAATTTCATTATCTTTGGATTAACATTTAATGTAAAACCAATCTAATATCCTATTATTATAAAGCTCATTTTAATTAGTTACATTCATCGATCACTAATTATTAGTGATCGATGGTTACATTACCAAAATATGCTATGTCGTATTTTGTTTTTGTCAAATACAGACATGACCGATAATTTTGTGACGTTTTTGCGAATATCGATTGATAGATACCTGACAACAAAAGAACTAAACATTCCGAATCAATTCTTTAAGGGCAGATTTTTCAATGGTTAGATAAAAGTTATCTGCGGAATAATTATGATGCTGTCGCGTCAGAATGTTAGCATTAGACAGTGACAGCAACATTTATATTCCTCAGATAACACATATCTAACTATTGAAAAATCAGCCCTAAGGTCATATTATTGGTTCACAGTTAGTTACATAGCACTTAGCGAGACAGAAACAAAATGATTGTATTTAACTTGCCAAATGTTCAAAGTAATGATAATGGCGTAATATTGAACGAGCCGAGATTGGTATTTATTTGTCAACATGATAGTATTTCTAGGTATCACGTTAGACAATAGACTTCGATGGGGTTTCCACTTAAAGCCGCTTTCAGGGCTCAGCTGCTTTTACGGCTTGACAGATTAGACAGCTCACAGACAGCAAAGGTTGATTATTAAGTTATTTTTCTCGAAAAATAACTAAAATATAATATTATGTCTTAAGGCAATTTTCATTGGAACCGAGCTGTTTCAGGAGAACCAATTTTTTTTCCACGAAAGCGGGCTATACGAGCATACAACTTGCCCCATAGCGAATCTCTGAGGTCGAAAAGATAAAGAATTACTGAAATGTATAAATGGGAAAGTTTGTTAGTATGGATGGATACATACATATGTGTCACTCGTTTATCTTAAAACTATGAAATGGATTTGTAATGAAAATTTCCACGAACCTACATAGTTATAGCCCATGATATCGTACCCTCAGTGGAAAATAGGCATAAGTGAATTTACATTGAATCATCGATTTTATCATATTTGAAAAGTACGTTTAAAGATACATACGCAATATTTTTTTCATATTTTTCTTGTTTAATTTGACGAATTAATTCAAGAAAATAGTTTTGAGAATTTATATTCCATCACTTTTTTTCTTAAGGATTTATTTATTTATTTATTAAGCTAGTATATTTATATAAAAGTAATCGATCTGTGTCCGAAAAAACCGACACAAAGTTTTTTCAACCCGGGAATTGAACCCAGGGCTTATACCACTAAACTAACGAGGCGTTATATTTATATACTTACATCTAAAAATCTCAGCCATATCACTTTAAGGATTAGTAGATTATGTGATATAACGCAAATAATAAATTAAAAAATATGACATATTAATTAATAATATGTTTATACCTAAAATTTAATGTAGAAAATAAATAGTAACAAATATTATGATTTAAATGCGTTTGCTTTTTTTACATCGCTAGTCTTGTATACACGATTATCTTTTTATTCGTTATATTAACTAGGTAAGGAAATTATCTTAAATGAGCTTACTTAACCAAAAAGATAAACTTAAAAAATAAAAACAGCAGTATGACTGTTTACTTCTTATGAACTTAAAATAAATTACAATAATAACAATTACTGCTTTTTTCCACTAAAAACTTTCCTTTACGTCGAAACATAAGACTACAAACTGCAGCACGGCTGTAACATAAGAATTATTACTTCTTTCTTCCACTAGAATATTTTCATTGCACCGGGACGTAAGATTTGATACAGCGGCGCGGGAGTAGACAGCGGGAACATAAGCGTGAATACGTCGGTGCAGGGGGGAGGGGGCGGTGCGTATCCACGCGCTTGACAGTCAGTGCCCGTTTCTAGGTAATAATAAGTAATAGCTGCGTTTACGCATTTGCGAAAACAAAACAACAACAATTGAGTGGTTTTTCTTCTTATTTTAAAGTAAAGTGACTTGAAAATGTATAACCGGACACAGCACAGTAGGGCGAGAAGAATTTTGAAGTTAATAGGTAAGTACATTTAGATTTAATTCTTATAAAAGCTAAAAATAAATTATTCCACAATGACGTGTTTACTGTATAATCAATAACATTGAGCGACTGTCGTCCGACCTTTGTAACCGGAACCAAAACAATATCGTGGTTACACATTCTGAATGAATGAAGGTGCAGTTTCCTCACGATGTTTTATCTTACCGCCAGCTAGTGGTTCAAGTAGTATGTAAGTGCGCTAGACAATTACAGCAATCGTCTGGTCTCAAACTAGGGGAACCTATATGAATGATTCGCTGTCTATTATTATAAAATTAATTTCTGTTCCTAACGTGTAATTTTATTTCTAATTTGTAAAGACATACCATAGATGTTATAACAAAATGTGTATTTGTAAATATTTATATTAGGTACATGATACTTTCAAAATCGTTAACTAGGTATAATCTATACTAATATTATAGAGAGGTAATATTTTTTTGTTTGTTTGTTTGTAATAAATAGGCTCCGAAACTACAGGACCGATTTTAAAAGTTCTTTCACCATTCGAAAGCTACGTTATAAACGAGTAACATAAGCTACTTTTTATCCCCGTAAGTAGTTACCACGCGGGCGGAGCCGCGGGCGGAAGCTAGTATATTTATATAAAAGTAATCGATCTGTGTCCGAAAAAACCGACACAAAGTTTTTTCAACCCGGGAATTGAACCCAGGGCTTATACCACTAAACTAACGAGGCGTTATATTTATATACTTACATCTAAAAATCTCAGCCATATCACTTTAATTACCTGGTCTTAAACTAAGGATTCTGTAAAGGATTTGGCAAGGGGTACGTACACTCAGACCCAAGTCAGTTTAGTAAATTTTGTTTGTTTGTCCGACCGGGAATCGAACCCGGAGCCTTTCGTCCTATATACACTAATAATTGTGGCATCGAGGATGTCAGACAAATAATAATGTCTTACCTTAACTTACCTTATTTTGTGAGCAAGACGTCTTTAGTAACAACTTAATATGATATTATTTATATTACATTTTATAATAAAATAATTTATTTACAGACGACGACACAGAAGCAGAACAAACATCTGGAAATTATGAAGTCAGTCGTGGTGATATTATGTACACCGCGCCGTCAACAAGTCGAAGTAGCAGACGACAATCTACAGTAAATTACAGAATTAGTGAGTCTTCAAATGAAGAGCCATTTTCACCACCGGTATCTGAATATTTACCAAGTTCGAGTCCTAGTCCGATAGCAGACTTAGGCAATACTTTACCATCTGCAATATTGAATGACTTCGATTTTAGTTTGAGAGATTGCTTAGGTAATTCTACACTTTTCTCTTCTCCAATTTCCACCACTCATAATAATTTAATTTTTATAGCGTCACCTACTGTCGTTTTTATATCTAATCCTCAAAAAACAATTTCTATGGGTAACAAAGACAGTTATGAAAATTTAGCGGTATCATCAGGAAATTACATAGAAGGAGTTAATCCTTTGCCGAATGATGCCGATCTTGAACCCGTATCCACGTTCTGGTATAATGCACCACTTCCTGAAAAGAGCATAACTGCCGCAGAACCTGAAACAGAACCTACATTTACTAGCCCTACAAGAACTCTGCTGACTCTTGAAAGTACTACGGTCATGCTTCGTAAAGCAGAGCCTGCATCCATAGCATGTCGCGACGAATTTCCGTTAGTTGAACATAATACTGCCGCAGAACCTGAAAAAGAACTTACATCTACAAGTCTTGCAAAAACTCCACAGACTCTTGAAAATACCCCGGCTATACTACCTGAAGCAGAACCTACATCCATAACATGTTATAACGACGAAACTCTTCCAGTTGGACATAATACTCTCACAGAACCTATATCTACAAGCCCTGATAGAACTCCACCGGTCTCTTCAATTGCCACAGCTATAGTTCCTCACTCAGACCCTCCAATCATAGCCTGCCACGTTGAAACTCTACCAGCTGGATATAATTCCACCACAGAACCTGAAGCAACGAATTCTCGTCCAGTGTTAGTAACTGAAGCTAATACAAATCCTAGAAAAAGAAAGCGTAATCCCGAAAAATGGTCTCAAACACAAAAAAAAATCAAATTAAATACAGGTCAACAGCCTCAAAAACAAATGCAAGAGCCTTGCAAGTGTAAGCTTAAATGCTTTGAAAAAATACCCAGCGACAGGAGGTTGGTAATATTTAAGCAATTTTGGGCTTGTGGTAACCATGAAACTCAATGGCAATTCATTTTGAAAAACACTGAGATTATAGAACCTAAAGTTATGAAAATTCAGCGTAAGCGTGAACGAAATCGTACACTGGTTTATTATTTGCCGTCAAAAAACGATGTATGCCTTGTGACTAATTTGAAAGTGTGCAAAACTATGTTTCTTAATACTCTAGGTATTAAAGAAAGAACAGTTTACACTGCCATTGATAAATATGCTAATGGGGACCAAATAACAGACCTTCGAGGAAAACATACCAATAGACCTCATAGAACAGCCAGCGAAACAGAACAGAGTGCAATTCAACATATTCAGTCCTTTCCTTGTATCGAATCTCACTATCTTAGACAAAATTCCAGCCGTCAATATTTGTCACAAGACTTAAATATCTCAAAAATGCATCGTTTGTACAAAGATTGGATATCAGAAAATGAAAACTTTCGTAATACTAAAGTGGCAAGCGAATATCAATATAATCAAATATTTAATACACATTTTAACCTTTCTTTTTCCGGCCGAAGAAGGATTTGTGCAATTTATGTAGCAAATACGACAATTCAACTGAAGAAGGTAAATTACAACTGAAAGAGGATTATGACAGTCATATAAAAAATAAAAACATCATACGAAATATGAAGGATATTGAAAAAGAATCAGCAGATCCTAATGTGAAAACTGTGGCTGTTTTTGACTTGGAAAAGGTTCTTAGTTTACCGCAATCTAATGTGAATATTTTCCATTATAAAAGGAAATACCCCGCATACAATTTCACTGTGTACAATTTAATATCCCGTCAAGGGTTTTGTTATCTATGGCATGCACAAATTGCAAAAAGGGGTGCGAATGAAATCGCTAGTTGCTTATTACACTTCATTAAATCTGAAGTTAACAGGGGTATAAAGTCAATTTCACTGTATTCAGATAATTGTTCGGGCCAGAACAGAAATCGGTTCATATTCGCGATGTATATTTATGTATCACGTGTATTGAACGTAGAAGTTACACACAGGTTTTTACAAACTGGCCACACTCAGAACGAAGGCGACTCAATGCATGCCTGCATCGAGAAAAATATGAAAAATAAGACATTGTACTCGCCTGACCAACTGTACGAAGTAATCATGAATTCAAAAGTACAAAATAAGTTTGTAATTAAAGAAATGAATCAAAATGACTTTTACAACCTAAAAAGTCAAGTCACGACAAGCAAGAATTGGTCACAAGACACAAACGGGCATAAAGTATTTTTCTCAAAAATTAAAGAAATCAAAACAAGTCCCGATGCACCAAATAAATTATTATTCAAATATGATTTCGAAAGTGAATATTTGGTACTAGACACTACAAATCGTACGACGACGACGCGCGCACGCAAATCAAATAATGCCAATGCTGTAGATGTTAATGAACTTCCACTTGCATATGCTCAATTGTTACCTATTTCTGACGCGTTGTTTAAAGACTTAATTAGCCTATGTGATACAAATGCTATACCTCTACATTACCAAACATTCTATAGAAATTTGTTACCAGTGACTGAATCTCCAAATTTGGAGGTATTTGATTCATCTGAAGAAGAATAACTTTACTAGTTCCCGTATTTTTGATCTCATTATTATTTTAGTTTGAATTTTGTTGAATTTTTATATTCATACGTATAAACATATTGATTATTAATATTTTGATTTATTGCTTAAAGAAGTTTTTTTTGTATTTTTATTTGTTGATTATTTTAAAACAAAAGGTACTGGCAATGTGTAAAGTACCTTGATTTGTTAATAATTTTTGCTTGTTATCTTAGATTTTTATTGAGAGAACATAATATTTTGTTGTACGGAGCCAAGAAAGAAGTTATTTCGTTAATTGTTACAAATCTTAACAAATGATCTACTGATTAGTTAATCATTAAAAAAAAAGTCATTAGTGGTAGTAATCTTCACCGAAACTCCACATTGCTGAATTATTACTGTCAAATTTTATTGTTGCTAGTACAAACTTTAATTGTATCCAAAACTATAATTATAATTTGCCTGAAATAAAAAAATAATGAACACAAAAAATGCATTTCCTTTTTTTCCCTTTAGTCATAAATATTAACTCTAAGTAATATGTGTTAATATGCAGCTAACTTTTCTTTAACATAATAATGGAATAAGTAATTATCTTTGTTTATTTAAGTTACCTTAGCAAGCCCCTAAATTGAAAAATGGGGTAAGTATTGCTAATACATTTCAAACATAATTGTAATAAAGGAAATAATGTAGTAATCTTACTTATACTAGCATAAATGTTTGTATTTACAAGTTCATTACTGCTTTAATACAACATACTTTTTGAAATATTTTTTCTTTTCTGGCAAAGTCTGGCATACATTTTGATACTCAGAATCCTGTATTTCATTACATTTTGAAAAATAGCATAATATTTTTTTTTTACAATTCCTAATAAACTATAAACATTAGTACTAACTTAAATACAACACGCAGTGCAACTTTTTTTTCTCCTTTTTTTGATACAAGAATAATTCTTCTTCGTTTAAAAATAAAGTAAATATGCCCATAAATTCAATTTTTTCGCCATACTGAAAAATCACCATTTTCGTCTTATGCCTTTTTTCCACTGGGGGTACGATATTATAAGTAAAATAGTATAGATAGGTTACATAAATAACATTTTCAAAACCGGCACACTTATGCACACAAGAATAAATCGTATGATACACGTTAAAGTGGGATGGCATGATTCAATAATCGTGAATGAAAAAGAGACATATATTAAAAAGTGTGGCTAGTTAGCCACATTTTAATGTATCACTTGCTGAGCGCTTGTAACCTATCTACATCTTTTTACTTATAATATCATTGGGTATAACCTGCAAAAACATTCGGCTATTCTTTGTTCGGGTAACATGGACGAAGCAGATGCCAGAAACTAGTATTACATAAAATAAAATAAAAAATAAGATAGGAACCCAGCAGAACGTTTTAAAATCTCTGTTCTTTTTTATATTAATTCTATCTTTCTTTTTACCAAACTTTTTTCGTAGTTTGCGTTCCAGATTACATTAAAACTTTGCCAAATAATTATGCGAAAACGTGAAATTTTACCACCATTTTCATACTGTTTTTCGACTAAAAATGTTATTTCACTTGATTCAAAATTTGTTCGGTATTTTTCTTGCTTCTATTACGTGCTAGTTCATAATATTTTTGCATGTTTTCTGCAGTATTACATTTTCACAGTAACCGGATTGATGTTTCGTAAAACATCTTGTTATTTTGTGTGTTTAATATATTATACTGTATGTTGCTGTTGCATATGATGCGCTGTTTGTTTTGTTTCAAAAATTTTTTCATAAATGACACTGCAAAACTCATCTTTATATTGTTTGATGGCAAACCAACAGTTGGTTCTCCTGGTGGTAAGCAATCGACATTGTCTGTGGAGACCTTGCACAACTAGAGGAGTTACGACTGCATTTCTAGCCTTTTGGGAGTAGGGAAAAGGATCAGAATAAAATCCTGCTTCCTCGTTGTTCATCTTCAATCAATCTTCCTCGTTGTTCAAATCATTATATCAATCTCTGTTCTATAAAAATCGTGTTTACTTCAATTTTTCAATTTTACGTTTAATTCAATTTTACAATAAAAATGTTTAATTCAATTTTACGTTCAATCGTGTTTACTATCTACAGATATCATAAATTGTTTGTGATTGTGTTTTTATAAAAGATTTTTGTGAGGCAATTTTAAACGCAAGTACAGTAGTACTATAATCCCTTGAGCTGTAAAAGTTAGTACGAAACCAATAAAAATGGATGAAGTATTTTATAAAAATAACACAGATGCTGACAGAATAGCTGCAAATGTGTTAAAAAAGATTTATGAACTTTGCAGAAAGCAGAAAAATAATATGTAAGGCTCGTAATCGTCCCGAACATACGGCGCGTAGCGTTCCGCGCGCGCCTCAAAGAGCCAATAGACCACCACGGACGGGGCCCAATAGGGCTGATGTTCAGCCGGGGTTGCGGGGAAAGCGCAATGAAGCTGAGGCACCGCGACCTTGGCTCAGAGAGGAACTGGGGGGGGGAGTTAGTCAGTTAGAGTCTGAAACTCTCTCTTGCCTTACCCAGGGCGGGAGAAGTCATTGAAGTAAATTTGTTATATATGTAGTGTTATACAAATGCCAAGGGCAAAGGAATAAGGTAAGAAATAGAAGCATCGCAACCTACAAGCAACTATGAAAAACACACCTTTGTGAACAAAGATGTAACATAATATTTTTGTACAAGGAAAAAAATGTAATGAGAATAATATTGACTAATTTCACCTTAGTGAGTGACCTACATAATAATGGAGTTTTACCAATGGCTCGAACGTCATTGGACGGCTAACGCGAATGATTAATGATATTTGTTTCAATAAAATTCAACACCGTTCGTTGGCCCGCGCAGTGTTATAAAAACAATGAATGACATATTTTTAATAAAAGTTGGCTGATATAAAATAATATTTTCTTTGTCATTTTTAACAATAGTCAACTTGCAATTTGGGGATTGTACAAGATAATATTTTTTTAGAGATTTTTATGAATTAATTGCATTTAAATGATGATTTTTAATGATACATCAAAAAATGTTTACTGAAACTAGCGTATTACGCATTTATTAAAAGTTATTCCAAAAATCTATATTTTTTTTCAGTTTAGGCCGAAATTAGGAACTCCATAGGAGTTCCATATGAGACCGTGATATCACTCCGTTTGAGCTAGCCCATTCGTGCTGAAGCATGGCTCTTCCGAACATAATTTTGTTTTTAAATTTGAATTGCTTAGTTAATCATCTTCATCATTATCATCAGAGTTATTTACAATTATGTCTTGTTAAGGATGTCATTACTAACCGTATCCAAAATACATTTTCTTCCAGACAGTGGCAGTGCTTTGACATAGCTCGAAGAGTCGATAGCCCAGACATAGATGTTGACGTCGAAGAACGACTGTGGCGTCAAACTAAAAAAGCTATCGACCAGTGTGATTTTTTCTTTATAATCGTAGACGTAAAGCTGGAACAAAGGACACAGAGATATAGAAATTGTAAGTGTTATTGTGTGTATTACGGCTTATCGCTAAAGAGGCGTGACACAAAGGGTGCGAAGTGTGAGTGAGGTTACCGGAGGCCCAATCCCAATTGGACTGCACGGTTGGCGCGGTGGTTGAGCAATATGAAATTGTATGTTTGTAAACCCACCAACGACATCGAAAATCATAGTGTGGATCAACGTTTAAAAAAATCCTTCCCTCTTCCACCTTTTTTTACCTCTCAATCCTCAAATGTCTTACTCGCAAAAGTGTCTTCTTCTTTTGGAGGTGTCCATGGATGACGCGAATTGATTACCATAAGATGGATACATCAGAAGATGACGGGCTTTTGGAAAATGTAAAACGATAAGTAGTTAATCAACTAGTAAAATTAAGACACATTTATTGAAATTTCAAAAAGGGTAACGATAATTTTCATTAGAACGTGTTTCAAGATCGCAACCTTATGGCATCCATTATCATATAATTGTTCAAAATATGCATTAAGTAGCATACGTATTGTTTAAAATCAGATTATCTCTCTGAGGCTCCGGTAACCCCATACATAGCGAAAAACAACGTGAGTGTCCTGTGAGGCCGAAATCCATTTACGATTGAGGAAACTACCCACTTGTTATACTCTTTTGTATATCCGAGTACCTGTTTTAGCTGCGTTAAGCTTTGACGTAATATTCTCAGCTGATTTTATGTCCGTCACAGTATTGCTAAAGATTGAATTTCGAAACTACCTTCAGTTCTAAAGAATCAGTATTTTTATTCCACGGAAAACACTCATCTCTGCTTAAAAATAAACATGGATTTTCACATCTTTTTGTCATGTCTCATCGTTCTATCCAACTTTATATTTTAATTTAAAAATGATCAAGAACAAAAAAGCGATCAGAGATTTATTTTTCCATATCACGTAAACAAAAAGGCTTCTATTTTTACTCTCTTTATCTACATCAGCATTTTATTTTAGTACCATTTTCCTCCTGCCACTGAATTCATTTAAAGTGTCTATCTGGTACCGTTTATACCTTCCTTTTTTCATCTGAAGTTCCGCTTTCCTGCAACCAATTTCACTTGCCCCTATATCCTACGCCATTTGTCTTTACCTATTCCATCGGAATATTTTTTCTCACAAAAATATTCTAAAATGTGTAATTGGGTAGCAATTGTCTCGATATATTTCTTTTGTTTGTTATGTACTTTGTTGGAACGGACAGAAGAGTGGGTTTAGGGTAAATCCCAATGTTTATTGGTGCGAAACAAAGTGTCAGACCAATTTATGAATATTTGATTAATGGCCAGTTGGTGTTTTTGTATTAATTAAGTATCGAAGTTTGATAGGGAAAGATTTTTTGTTTATTTAATACAAAACTTTTTTAAAATAAAATCAATACATATACATTTATTTGACAAACATTACTGGTAAAATAATGGGATAATTTTATTTTGAAGCGTGGTCTGTAATTTTTTTACGTCCACGTGTAATTCTATCATACTGAATTGTCATACAAATGTTGTAGACAATGGGCACTTCAATTTTTAATAATATCAGAACATGTCATGTAAGTTAATGAATTAAATGGATAGATATAAAACTAAATTTACATTACGTAGTGTTTAAAAGAAACATATAAGAGAACTTCTTATTGTCAATATAGAAAAGTTAAAAGCATATGCAGTGAATTGCAGTGGTATAAAAACATAATAATTATAATGAATGAGGACTATAAAACATCAAACACATACTATAGAAGTCTCTTAAAACAAATTCGCTTTCTCTTACCTCATATGCTACGCTCAAATTTTAAAACTACTATTTTGATGCGCTTTTGTTTAACAGACGAAGCGATTGAAGAGGAAGGTTTACATGTCTAATAACATTCATTAATTGTGGAGAAATTTTTCTGGCAGCATTGCACTCGTGCGAAGCCAGGACGGGTCTCTACTAGAAAAAAAAATGCTATACTCACAATGGAATTTCCATTGAAGCTCTGTCCGTTAACGATGATGTCCAAAGCCTCAGTAGAATCCAGACCAGAAATAAAGTTCGTTTGGTTATCCGCATGTTCCCTACAACGTCGATACACGAGTTATTTCACGAACCCACGCCTTATCAATTAGTCAACTTGTCTTTTGAATAACTATTCTATTTTAGTATCGAGATAAAGTTATTTAAGCTCTTTGAAAGCAAATAAATGTTTGGAATATTTTTATAAACTTTGATCATAAATTCTCAATTCATTCTTCATTTTTGGAAGCGATAAAATTCTGAGTTGTTTTTGTTGATAGTGAGAATTACATGTTGATATAATAATTTCGAATCAAAGCCTTTTATATGAATTCAATTTCAATGGACAATATTTATAACTGTTAATATGGCTTAGTAACTTTTCCGGCTCACCTTTACTGTCTCTAGCAAAGCATATTATTTATATTGAATGTTGTGTACATTAATAATTAGACTTCAGAGATGTATGTACTGTACGGCGCGTGTGTTTAAGTGTATTAACTATGCTGATTGTTTTTTTACTGTCCTGACTGTGCTAATTATTCTGTACTTTGTATTGCAACTGTACCTACATATTATAAACTAAAATAATATTTAAGAATCTTCTTTTTATTTAGTAGTTGAAAGTATTGCATTTGCATTGTAATTATACGATGTGTCTATAATTATATATTTGACTAGTGATGGTACTTAAAGTGTCGCAATCTATTGATTCATTCAAACTTAGAGTATTGAAATAAAATTAACAATTAAAAAAAGTTAAAAAAGAATATTTATGAAACTTACATGAAGTAAGGTATATCGAATTGACAGCAGTGCCCCACTATTGTGAGTAACGGGTGGAACATCTCGGAGCAATTGAATGTCTTTGATCGCCAATTGCATTCCACAGTTATATTACTGCAGGGCCTCTTGAACTGCAACATTAAACAAATCTTACCTAGTATATATATACAACTAGCTAGTCTCACCCGCGCTGGTCGGCTCCATTTAATCGTAGCGTGATGTTTAATAACCTATAGCACTCAGGAACATTGTAGCTATCTATCAGTGAAAGGATTTTGGCAATCCGACCAGCGGTTCCAAAGATTACCCCCTACATACAAACTTACAAATTTTACCTCTTTATAATATTAGTATAGATGGATACAGAAAAAAAGATCACCAATCCCTAAACCTGCGAAACCCGAATCCCCAAAATGCACGCCAACACACTCCGCAACTCCGCTAGTGTTGCAATTGTGCATGGGCGGCGCCGATTGCTTACCATCAGGTAATCCGTATTAGAATTTTGCAGTCAACACAAAAAAAATAAAAAGAGGTTTGAATAACGGTAATTTCCAACTAGTCAAAGTCAATACTTTTATCCAAATGTTAGAAACGATACTTTTCTATGAAAATTGTATGAAAAACTGAGTTATGACGTCATAGGTAGTATTTTTGCGTCAAATAGCTTACTTATTTCTTAATAATTAGCCACAAAATATCTAAAACCTAGTGTATCGATCGATAAATGAATAAAAGTACCTATAGTTATTTTTCAATATTTTATTGTATTGTCGAATAAATTTATTTTTGACCTAGGAAACTACCCAATTGGTACACACGTTCCGTTAACAAAACGAGTATTGATAGTACAGTTTCACAGTAAATCGGTGTAGAACAACTGTCTCTTTGTGTTATGCTGCGTGAGTGAAGTTTCTGGAAGCCTAAGCCGTCAAAAGACTGGCATCGCTCTTTGGTGCTGGTCAGTCAAGTGATCTGGCTGCCCGGTTGCCAGCCTAAATTATATTCCATAGAATTTTACGTAAGAGAACTTCTAGGAACTATTCTCTCCTATTTTAGCTTTAAAGTTAGTACAATAGTACCAGAGTTTCTGTTTAGCAATAAATACTATTTGGAATAACCTATCACAGTTTGCTTATTCTGTTGGTTAGTTTAGGGTTTTCCATTTAGGGATTACTACTAAATTTAAATGTTTTTATGTTGCTAGCCAATAACAAGGCTATTTTATTTTCGTGATAAGCTAAACAAATTAATAAAGATACATACGTTCGTAGTTTTTAAAATAACTTTGCTCGTATGTCATACGTCATTTCCAAACATGCAATGTTAGACATTTGTGTTCCAAAAAATTCAAGTTATGTTATGTTTAATTCCTTAGTGCTATGGTTCAAAAAGACACCACCACCAGACACCCTGCACGTGTCAAATCCTTAAACGCAAAATAGCAACAAGTGAAATAAAATGTTTTTGATTATTTTTTAACAACATAAATTAAATTTATGTAAAGAACAAAAGTTTTTTATCTTTTATTCATTGTTATTTAAATGAAATTCTCGGAATCGTGCGATGGTACGTCCATTTCAATCGATTCATTTTCCATTCTATTGCCCCTTACATCTGATTAAGTTTGCTTGGGAATCCGTTTTTAGGTTTTATCATCGACATCAAAATCATGTTTTAAAAACATAGCCCAAAAGAGCTTTATTAATCCCAAGATCGAAAATGCTCACGAAGTAGCCATTATTTGGGGAGAAAAGGAGCATTATCAGTTTTTTATTTACTAAAAAAACAGCGCGGTATCCCGTCTCACATGTGGTAAGGTATACATTTTGCAAAAAAACCGTATTCTGTTATAACCAGCAACATTATGCAGCTCCAAGCTAAAAATGTTTTTCAGACTTTGAACTTATTTCCATATTTGGAAGTCCATTTCGTGCACATATACCTATACATAAATCTAGGCAACTAGCGCTACCCATGGACATCCGCAACACCAGAGGAATTATAGTGCGTTGCTCGTCTTATAGATTTTGCTGAGAAGGTTTTCGAAAAGTTCTAGTACAGATCATAGGGAATATTAATCTTACACGAGTGGGATCTTTGAGGAAAACCAATATTGTATTCCGAATTTTGATGTCACTATACAAATCAACAGGAAATCGGTTTGAGGGTTCGTGATTAATTAATTATTATTGATACTAGTAGACACGGCTCAGAGGTCAAATACGAGTCTCATTAATATTTTATTGTAAGCAATCACCGTCGCCAATAATATAGTTAATCACAACACCAGACAGTCACAAGTGCGTCGCTTTACTTTTAAGTAGGAATAGCTTACTTACTTGATGTAAATCAGGTGACAGACAAGTGTGGCAAGATAAGGGTGGTACCAAAATAACTGTCGCCACACGATTGTTATAATCAATTTGAACCCAGAACAAATGGACGAACTTCAAAGAATCTTTTTTTTTAAATAGAGCAGCAAAATCTGCCATTATCGAGACGAAAAATCATCTAATGCCTATTAAGGGGGTTGATGTCTGAAAAACAACTCGTTGCTTCTACATACATCGTTGCATGTATGAACCCACAGACCAATACATAAAAATACGTTGACTCACTTACAAAAGCAGATATCAGCCTACAAAACCTTGGTCGTTAATCACCTACCCCTACTTACTCCAAAATTTCAGCGTAACGTGCAATTTCGTCTATCAAGGAAAAAGAAAAGGGAAATTACGACCGCTAAAGGTCACCACCGCGGAATGACGTCACTACGAAATGTAGACGTATTATTTTATTTCAGAGACGGTATATTTTAGCATTCGACCTGTTGATTGATTTTCATTAACTGCAGGTTATTCAGAATCAAAAAACGCAATGTCATGTATTAAGTGTGTGGCTCGCAGAAAACGCTCTCGTAACTCCTCTGGCATTGGGGACGACGCCGATTGCTTGCCATCAGTTATACCGTCTACTCGTTTGCCATCTTATCACATAAAAAATCATACCGTAGCCCGGCTTGGGTTCCAGGTTCTTTAGATAGTAAGAGTTGGACATCTCCTCTTGGGTCATCCGGGGTGGGAAAAGTCATTGAATGATTTTGACCCTCCAAAAGAAGTTAGTCAGAAATATGTTTATGGATATGTAAGTGAAAAGATTGAAGCCAGTTTTTTGACAATCTCATTAGGCCTACGAAGTCTGAAAATTGCTTGGGAACAGATCCAACGCTTCATATACACAAATCATACAACTAATTTAATAGACCCGAAAGTTTGTAAGTATGGATGGATTGATTGATAGATTTTTGTTATTTTTTCACTAAAACTACTGAATGAATTTTGAATATATTTGCCCAAAAATATGTTATAGTCTGGAATATAGACTAATTTTCATCCAGGCCGCTAAGAGAAACTCGTAAATTATGTAATTAACTACAGAGAAGATGGCTTATAGCAAGTAAGTTAGTTTTAATCCCTTTTGGAAAACTAAAACAAAAAGGTTTATCTTGGAAAATCTTAATACCATATCCAGCAGAATTTTCAAAGAGTATCCAAGGTCTTCAAGCAAAGAATGCATCTTCCTGACATATGGCTCTGGCGCGTAGTTCTTTTTTTTCACCTCACTGAAGCTCTTATAGAAGTCATCAATTTCAGTAGTGTTGTAGCCACGAAGGATTCTAAAACGTCAATGGTCTTTGTTAAAGTTTATATTCAATTAAATATTGACAAAGTAGATATGATTAATATGTAACAAGTAAAGAATAAAGGGGACAATGAACTGATTTCACTGCAGTGTCGCTCGAGTAATTGCAAACACGGCTAGCTAACAAAACAAACGTGTTTCCAATTTTCAGAATCCCCATCCGCATCACGAACGTTCGGATTGTGCCCGGTGAAGTTTTGGACACTGCAATTTTGTCCTATATCCTGGTTGCGTTTACCTCAATAAAAGTTTTATCACATTCTGCCACTATTTGACAAGCAGTCAGCAAGACTGACTTTTGAATTTTGTCAAATACTTTGCCTGGAAAATAGTAGATGAAAAATATTGTTTGCTGATATTAGGTATGCATAGGCCGCATAAAATTTTCACCTTCCATTTCAAAAATCGTTACTATTCAACAAACATGGAATATATTTTAGACACAAATGTTTATTGGAGAACAACAAAATGTTTTCAGGCTTTCTGCTCAAGTTTCGCAAAAACATCTTCACCTGCATTCTTAAAAACATCCATTTAAATATATTACATTTTAATAAAAATGTATTTGGTTAGCTCTTATAAAAACCTATTTGGTTTTGCTCGTAAATCAGTAGACCTGAATGCCAGGGTAGAAAGTTCATGCTCTGATGAACATGGAACATTCGTTGAGTCATTGAACTCTCCTAATACATTACGTTGAGTAAAATTACTTGATTAGGAGTGACTGTAATAAATTGATTTGATTTAATCTTCTGTTTGAAATGTTGACAGGATTTTGAGACAGGTGAGAGGGAAACACGAATCGTATCTTTTTGTAACGTGTTTTAATACCTACATTAATGGTTGATTTGTTTCGAAAACAAAAGTTTGTCCAATGTTTTTTTCTAGAGTTTTGGCAATGATTCGATTCCCACATGGACTTTCCTTTTGTGCGATCCATAAATTGTTGATCTGGGTTTGAGTGTGATGTCTAAATGTATTTTGTAAACGTACCCACAATACAGGAGAGAATCATAATATGGGACAGAGTATTTAACACGTTTTTTTTTATAAAAAGCTTGTTTTTCATTTCTTACGCAAAAGAGCAAAAGCGTCTTTTTGAGCATTATTCACCATGCTTGCTCAAGGCAGCTTGGCGATTTCAAACTTATAATTTGAAATTATAAGTCCAGGTTTCCTTACAATTTTTTCCTTCACCGTTGGTCAGTGGTGTCTAAATAATCATAGAAAGTACAAATAACTCAGAAGTCACATTGGTACTTGTCAGGTTTCGAACCCGCACCCTATACATATATTTTCAAACGCATAATACAAAATTATAATAATGACAATAGGACTTACAATAAGTCGGTGATTTCCTGTGTTTTTGGCAAAAACACATTGTCTGTATCGCAGATAGTAACAGCTGGGAAGGGAATGTTTACCATCGAGTAGTGTGTCGTTTCCACCTGAAGAAAAAACAAGTTTGATTAAGAAAATATTATATAATAAAAGGTAGTCTCATTTATGATTTTAATAAAAATTGCAACATCTTTTTCCAACACAAAAAATATACTTTTTTATAATAAAAGAAATTTTGAAGGGATGCCATCTACTTCTTATAAAATAATGACAAAACATTAACGACAGGGAAACTGTCGGCATCAGTGCTACACGTGTATTGTTACATAATGTAATTCTAAACGTCTTCTTAGTTAGGGAAGTTTTGTTATTGTTACAATTAGATGTGTCAGTGTTAACACCGTTTTTCTTGTGAACGTAAATATCTCATATCTATTTCTAGAAAGTTGGCCACTTTTGGAGTAATTGGTCTTAAGGTCTATAAGAAAGATCTTGCTTGTTTTCTTTTACGATTAGAAAATGGAATGGTTTTCATCAATTTTGGTACTCTTTCAAGACACCACGTCGTGTATAACCATTCCAATTCTAAATTTATTGTAGGAACATTTACATCATCATCTGTCTGTACGTGCATTAAACACGGGGTGTCTGAAAAACTACGGCTGTAGCGCAACGTAATGTGAGTTCGATTGCCGTACGCAAAAACTAGCAGTCTTAGCTTGTGTGACACAAATTATTATTTCAGGTTTGAGCGGGATCTGCATTATTAAATTGTATGTTTGTAATGGTACTCACGACTCGGTTGAAAGTGTAGAGCAATGTTTTTTATAATTAAAAAACTGTCTCATTGTCGCATCAATCACCTCCCTTGCTGATGATTATAAATTATTAGACAAGGTTTCCTCACTAAGTTTTCTTTCGTCGTATGTAAATGGTACCCAAATAGTTGAGCTGAGAAGCCGTCTTCGGTCCACCATGACATTTAGACTATACCTAAATAGATAGATACCTAAATAAGTACTTAATTTCGGATCACGATATGCAGTAGGCGTATCCACAATCTACCCTTAAACAATCCTAAGATATATTGTGCCACCTGATAAGTTGAGTAGGAGACTTCCCACGACTGTGTGTTATTTATAACGTTACCTTCAAGCAACATTTTTTGATAGTTGTGATGACTTGTACTTCTATTATTGGGGAAAGATTAGATTTATTCTATTTACAGAACGATAAAAGGGACGACATATTTAATTTTCCACGTGGCAGTTATTGAGTATAGCAACCATAGGGCCTTTGTCTTCAGGCTCGCTGTTATAGCAACGTTGTACTTATTTCTAGATTTAGGCTAGGTTAGGTTAGGTTTTCTGTGTATCACTCCAGTCGAGCCGGCTCATCATCATGGCTCTACTTTAGTTAATTATATACATTTTAAAAACACACACGCAGTAACAATACGATATTTGAAGTTGTCCACTAAGTAGTGGGTATAGCCTTCAAAACGGACACTACTACTCCTTTCTTCGATGAGTATAAAATCCGGAGTAAAGCGATGATCAATAAAACTGCTTTTATTTTTTCTATAACTGTCCACGCCATTTCGCACGTGCTCTTAAGAGAAATACCATCAGATCTGTTCTTGTTTATCCCGGTCACGTTCCTATACGGCAAATTTCCTACAAAATATCCAGTCAATAGGTTTTCCTTATGGAAAAGTAAGGACAATATTTTCTTACGTAATCTATCAACACATTTAAAAAAATCCAACATGATTTTATTTGCTACAAGTCTTAAACAGAGAAAGTTGCGAATCTATTTAAAATATATGTATAGAAATCAATGCCCCTTTTCGTTGTAATGTTATAACTCAACAATCCTTTTACCGACCTGACTAATTTTGGTCTTGAATTATTTGTGGAAGTCCAGAAAAGATGTTTAAGTAGATAATTAAAAAAAAAAAACTTGAATATGTGTAGAATTGACATCCACGCGGTCGGAGCCCAGAGCGACTGCTAGTATTCTATACAGATAATAAAACTTTGTTGTTTTTATATATCTTTCATTGTCAGTATTCCAAAACCGATACCACCTTCAAACCGTCAAAAGAAGGTTCGCATCGCGACTGTAATTGCTCTGGTGTTGCATGTGTCCATGGGCGGCGATCACTTACCATCAGGTGATCCGTATACCTGTCAGCAGCAAATGATGATCAATTATTGTCCAACAATTCAACTGAGAACTCGTCTTTTGTGCTGTGACGCATGTATGCTGTTTGAATATTCAGTGTCTTGTGTACGTTATTTCTGTTTCACATCGCAACGTAGGCTACTTTTCTTTCCAGCTAATCAAAGTTAAGATTAAATTACCTATATATATAGTATATTGTTATAATATAGTTTGCTCCATTATCAGACAAACATCTTAACGTTTACAACAAGTTAACAGAATTATACGTATGGGTAAATCATTTGGAACTATTGTTTCACTCCGCTATAGTTGCCGTTTGCCTCCTCTCCGCAATTTCCTCTACTAAATTACATTTCAAACTAAGTTACCGAGCCTTTGTTTACCATGTAGTATTTAGTTTATTACTGTTTGTTACCTCCTGATTTTACAAATCTTTTTCTATATCTGGCCTAATACGATCTATTTTTGTGTGGCCTTTTTAATATGATTCGTTATTTTCAAATAATTTCCAGCCTTTTTGAGATGCTTGTGGTTTTATTGCAAAAAACTGTGTCAAATTGTTAGCAATAAATCGATATATTGCGGCTTATACGTATATTCAGCGTAAGTTCTAACTATATTTTACCGTACACCACCGAGTGCAAAAACACAAGTACAACAATATATATGATTGACAGATCATTCTCAAATGGAAATGATACACGATGTGTTGCGTAACATGTTACACGGGCCCTTTTCTGACTAGGTACTTGTTCGTATATTACTTTTGTTATAAAGAACCCTTTTCTTGAGATATATATGTAAGGATGACGAGAATCGGACTCACGGGGTCCGGTTACTATCGACGCCAAAGACTATATGTAGTTCCAGCTTATGCTTCCAGCAATGAAGTATTGGAAAAATTTTGTATTAGCATTGTACATAACGTGTCGTGTAGACAAGGAAAGAAATTTTCCCATAACCCTTATAAGAACGGGATAAAACAATGCATGAGTTGTATTTCGCCGTGTGTCTAAATCTCTAAATCCCTAAGCTGCACATACCAAACGCTTGAAAAGCCGACAAAGAATTTGTAACGCATAGGGTTCTCGGAAGCCGCGGAAGAGTGCCTACAACCAGGCGATCCATTCACTATGCAGTCTGATACTGTAGTGAGGCCAATTTTCTTAGAAGACAAGAATTCATTAGTAAGACTCCATAGCAAACGCCTTGTGCACTAGAAGAGCTAAGTAAGCATGTAGCGAAGTTCATTAACATTACAAAGTGGCACTTCTTGCATAATGTATTAAGACGTGCTTGTTCCACGTACATCTTTTGACTTTATATTTTGTGAAATGTTATTTTTTTAATAATTATTATACTTATAAGACTGCATAGCATATTTAAAAGCAGTTTCTATTAATATGTTGTGGTCTGGGATAAGAACTGTACATATAGTAACATGTCGTGAAAATACGATTTTATTTGTACGTAGATAGTAATTTTCGACCTGTGTATGTATACTAAGTAAGTTTCTTAAAGCAAACTTTTAAAATTAATAAACATATCTACTTTTTGACGACTGTGCCTCGTTGCCACGATGAAGAGCCCCGTTGTGAGTGAGCTTTTCTCATTTTATTTTATTTATATTCCTATTATTCGCTCATTTGAAATCGAGACAAAGTGTAAAAAAAATCGTCGCTAGTAAAGCAATTGGCGGCTAAGCCATAAAAGCCATATGCAGATAAATCACCTTAAGAAAATATAGCAACTTACATGAAAAAAGAACACATTCAAAAGGTGCTGGCATCCGCTGAATTACGCAGCAGCCATATTCGATTTCGATCATACATATATTTGTCAGCGATTTTTCTTTCACAAAATTAAGAAGGTAGCCGAGGTACGAAAGCCTCGTGTAAGAGGAGAGGGTTGAAATCTCAAAAGAATACCTATCTTTTATGTAAATAATTTCGACTGCGATATTTTTAGATTTTTATAAAACCGGCCTTCTTTATAAATATAGTTGTATTCCTTTTTATTATGAGGAATATTTATTTAATCTTAAATTTGGAATTTCAATCTAAATTTATATTAAACAAAAAGGATTTCACGACCCCTGGAGAAATCTGTTTCTCTTTCTTGTGTCTTTGTTATTAGTCTGACTGCCTTGCGCAATCTGAAGACATTGTCATCTGTCGAGCATAAATAAGTGGGGTACAATCAGCTCAGTAATACAATACATAATAACCGCCGTTTCCTACTCAGCCATTGATACAAGATTTTAATGTAGCAATGCGACGCAATTCAAATAATTGCCATCCAAAGAAAGTTTATGTAAACTTATAATTTTGCAATGTTGTAATAATTAATTATGACTGGGAATATTTATACGTAATAATTTGACGAGATACTCGATCGATCGCAGTAGTAGCGCGACAGTCGCCGCGTCGTGTGTCGCGGAATCCTGCTCATGATTATGGGCCTCTAGCATGGCTTGAAACTAGTCGAGTATCTCGTCAAATTATGACTTGAGTAAGCCGAAAATATAGCAATTAATTTAGAATGTCTCACGAAAGTTAAAATAAAAAAAAAGATGGTATGATTTGATTCGATAAGTATTAAGAGATTTAAAGGTAAACATGACTTTTTTAAACGTTGCCCCACACTATGATATTCTCTTGTGCACCTACGACACAAGAGAATAATATCATAGTGTGGGTTACAAACATACAATTTCACATACACATGACACCCAGACTCGGAACAACAATTTGTGGATCACACAAAGAGATGTTCCGTGCGGGAATCGAACCCGCGACTCATTGCACGGCAGCCAGTTGCCCAGCCGCACCAACCGTGCAGTCAAATATATAATAATACTCTTACCTATACACTGGGACATTTGCGTCGTTTAGGGGCATTTACCAAATCCAAAGTGCATTACACTTATATCCGAAACAATCTGAGCATCACACTGGAGGGGGATATTTTCGCTGCAGTTGATTGTCTAATTTTATTAGAGTTGATTTACTTACCACCGTCAAAGTAGGATCGATGACAAACTTCATCCATATCATGTGGCCAAGGAAGCAGCACAGAGCCATGCTGGCAGCAATGATCATTGCCCACAGTACATGAGCACTCCAGCTCGAGGCCTTATAGAAGTAGTACACGCCATGGAGGGTGCAATGCTTACAGAATAACTTGGTTTTCGCTACAAGAGTTGATTTCAATTCCTTGTCTATTAGCATTTTCTTGATAGCTTTTAAGATTTTTCTAGAAATGTACGTAATATTATTAACTTTGCGAATAATCAATATTTTTGTCGTAAAATTTATAAGCAATACACGCAAGACAGGCTGGATTCTTAGTTTATCAATTCTAGTCGACCAATCACTGAAAATTTTAACAGACTACAATAATTATACTAATTTGAAGCGAAGCAAATTTGATTATGATTTAATTAAGTGTAAGTAAGCACCTGATGTTATTGACTAGCTTTAATAGAAAATAGATATTATTTTACAATTTTATATTTTACAATAGTTCGGAGCACTTTGAAAATAATTCTTTCTCAATAAAGGCACTTCATTTGGTAGATATTCTAAACAATAAATTAAAGAACGCGTCAATATTGGAATAGCCATCATTTAAATAATTAAAATGAATTGTAGTTGTTTGAGAACTCCAATTAATTTCGTATCAATTTGTCGTTTCATTAAGTAGACACATTATGAGAAAAAGTTCACATTATTTGATTAAAGTTATTGATGGGTTAAGTTTTGTTTATTTTGACTAGTTGTGTTCAGTGGGTTTTGATATCTGCCTTTGTGTATATTCTAGCTATTTAAATCCACAAATGTGTCTATAATTTATTTCTAACCTTTTGCGTGTGGGAGACACCCACTCTTCGAATTCTTTTGTTTCGACAAAAGATAAAGACTGTTATTTTTACAAGCTACTTTTATAGTTTTATTGAGATATTTGATAACAAAATTCGAATTAACATGAAAATAAGAAATCATATTCTTTAGCAGTACAAGTAACGTAAATACGGTGAATTTTCTATATAAGTAAAATGAAGATTAGGGAAATGATAAATGATTCAAATAGGAATTAAAATGTAATTAGAGCTAAGACATGTTCCTCGGTTCGGAATCACAGTTTTATTAAAGGAAAGAGAATCAAAATATTTTGCTACAAGGGTGTGGAAGGAGACATTTTGAGGTGAGATCTTAACATAATTTGTAATTAATATTAATGTAAAATAAAGGTAGTATGTTATTCAGATGGACTTACAACTTTTTGTATGTGATCGGTCGGCAAATGGGCAGACGGATTACCTGATGGTAAGCAATCAGAGTCGCCCTTGGCCACCCGCAACAACTTTTGGGGATTAAGGATTGGGAGAGGGGAAGGATTGGGCTTCCGGTAACCTCAACTACACGGCAAAACACAACACTGTGGTTGTTTCACGCCGGTTTTGTGTGAGGCCGTGGTATAACTCCGGTCGAGTCGACCCATTAGTGCCGAAGCATGGCTCTCTCACACAATAAACATTATTCGCATATAAAAATACAAGTACAGGTTATTTTATATCTTTTTGTTCGATCATCTCTAAGTGTGGGTGGGTCGCCCACGCTGTGTCCGACCCGACCTACCAAGGTCAGCAGATTTGCTGGATAATCGGTACTCGAAATGGAATATAGTCGAACTTCAAAAGACTTGAGGGGAAAACTGTATACTTTATTTATTTTAAGTATACTTTTTTATTGTGTATAATTATAGCAATTTGAATTCGGAAGCCATTTACTCAGAAATTATAAGCTAAGGTTCGAACAAAATTATAACAATTTAAAATTTTGTTAATCTTATTTTTACCTTTTAATATTATTTGCATGTTTATAGAAGTATAGTTTTTAAATTAGATTGATATGCACAAATAAGAAACACATTTTTTGTACTTGCCTTCTATAATGTTCGATATTTACCAAACAATTAAACGAGATATTTTTTAATGTCGTCACATTATTGGGAAAACTAAATAATATCTTTTTTCCTATAGAAATGTCGAAGAAAAAGCAAAAGAAGATCGATAGTGCCTACTATGTCTCCTTGATCGAGAGGATCACAACTCTACATGGCACCAGCCACTTCACCTCGCGAACTGGAAGGTCTCTGCTAATATGGACCCTGGCTGTGTTCGGCAACGTGATGTTAACCATCGCCTTCATCATCGTCATAAGACAGAAGTTTAATGAAAACCAAATTGTTACTGTGGTAAGTACCGCTTCTACTGTTCTACTATAGCTTTCTAAAATTATCACAATTTTAAAGCTAGTAGACATTGTTCGTTTGAACGCGCTAATCTTCGAAACTACTGATTTGAATTTGACAGTTCATTTATCGAGAATTATACAAAACATCAAGCTACGATGTGTAGGAGCCGAGCAGCGGGAAATCAAATAGCTAGTTATATTTATAGATTGTGCGTTTTGTACCTTCTCATTGTTTTCATTGGGTGAAAATTTTCAATGTGTTATTTGTCTATGATGTTAAATTTTATATAGATATAGATGAACCTCCAATAGAATTGGTCTATTATGAAAATATCTGCAGGTGATCTCGCATAATCTCTCTTTCAGGCCGCGGCCGCGGTACCTTAAAGCGCTTAACCCCGGTCTATCCAAAATATGCCTACAATAATAAACAACGCAACTAATCTGAAAATACTACTTAAAAAATCGCTCTTACTTACCTTACTAAACAATTGATCCTTTTGCATGATATTTTATTTCTCAGCTCATAATAAAAGAGTAAACTTCAAAGCGTTCATGGATTTTGTAGGTAGTAATATAAATCTATGAAAAATAAATAACAGTCCCATTCGTGAAATGAGAGCAAACTCTGATATATTCGTTCAACTCAAATATGAGTATAAAAACTTATCGGATATTCTCATTTTGTTATCAATCTTTAGTTCGGAATCAATCATCGGTAAAAGGGTGCTCTGTTCAATGGTCATGTTCAAAAAACGTTTTTTCGTAAGGAAATGTTTTTTTCTTTCAGACATTGATATAATATGTAAGAGAAAGTACCTAGTACCTTTCGTCTTATCGTTCATATGAAAATCTATAAAGACATGATTGTAGATAATGTATACAAGACGAATTATTTTATTGCTACGAAAAATAATTGAATTTATTTAAATTACCTGTCTAATTACCGTACACGTTTTTTTGCTAAATGTTCTATAAAATGTCCATTTGTATATTGTTTACCGTGCCAAAAAATGCGATGTCCTTGATTCATTCATTTTTAATTTATTGTTAACTAACGATGTACTAAATTTCTCTACTATTTAATGGATATCATTTTACATATAAACGTTTTTTTTAATTACTATACCTATAAAAACCCCGCATCAAAATCCGTTGCGTAATTTTACAGATTCAAGCGTACTTAGGGATATATGGATAGACTAAGTAACTTTATTTTACACCATGTAGTGATTTACTTTTTTTATTCATTTAATAATATATTCTAGAGTCACAATATGCGGTTAGTACCCGTCGATCGGCCAGATGTGTTACTGATAGTAACCACATCAACATTATAAAGACCATATAGATGAAGTTCCCCGAACTGCCATAGTGGCAATATCGTGTTCCAGGCAGGCACTGACATTGCGGGTCAGCACGGTCCATACATGTTTTCTGTTTCTATAGTCTAGTTTGTGGATTCTATTTCTATTTGTTATTGCGTCATCAACCATTTGTTTAAATCCGAAGCGCTGCACACGCGCCTCGAAGAGCCAGTAGACCAGCCATGATGTCCAGCCGTGGTTGCGGGGTAAGCGTAATGTGGCATCGCGACTTAGGCCTAAAGCAGGAGAAGTTACGGGGGGATTTTTAGGTCTGACAGTCTCTCTCGCCTTACCCTGGGCGGGAGAATAAATTTGATGATTTTTTCCTGACAAAAAAACTGTTTCAATGACTGTGAAATCAAGCGTGATTACTACCAACGGTGAGTATTTTTTACGGCGCTTTCTCTAGTTTCCTCCTCGGTTGGACGGGTTGCTTTGACTCTCAGATTGCTGCCGAATTAAGGTAACTTTTGTCTCGTAGTAAAAATTACTGCAATAGTCTTTCATGGAGTTTACAACAAAATGAGAATATCCGATAATCCGGTTTTATACTCATATTTTAGTTGAACGAATAAATCATTGTTCGGTCTGTACTTAAACTCGTATAGTCGTACAGTAGCGAACTTCGAGAGGAGTTACGGTAATGATGGCATTCTGGGGTTTAAGAATGAAGAGTAAATAGGGGAAGACTGAGCCTCCAGTAAACTTACTCACCCGGCAAAACATAACGAGAGCGTTGATTCACGCTTTTCCCGGTCGTGCTGATCCACTCATTCCATTCAGAAGTATTTCTCACCCACATTAAGTATTCCTCCCTTCTAAGGAAACCCGCGTAAACAGGGCTTTAAATACTGAAGCAATAAAGTGATTTGTTTCTGTCATTATAATTAATTAAACGTTTAATATATTAACCCTTATCCATGTTTAAATTAGATAGGTTTTCCACAAAAAATATTTTACCACATCTAAATAACCTACATAGAGTTTATTACTATATTATTATTCTACTATAATTATTTATATTATAATGAAAACAATGAATTCCATAAATGGCCAGAGTAAAAGAAATTAAAATATATTTTTCTTCAAAAACCCACTCGCTATAAACGAAGTTCTGAGAAGTAGACCAACCAACCAACCAACCTTGCTTTCGTTCACGTTCCGCTTTCGTTAAACTGTATAGACTTAATCTTTTCTCCAATGTAACATTATAACATAACCCTTCTGAGAATTCTTAGAAGGGTTACCTAGAGCTGGGATGGGTACATTAGAATAGTAGGAAAAGGCTAAAAATACTGCTATAAGAAAATATTTTTGTTTTATTTGAATATGTTTATGTAAATTTTATGACCGTCTTAATTATATTATGTTTTATGACAATAGTTTCTTATCCTAATTTTAAGGTTTGCATTTATAAATTTTATGTTTCCAAACTATTAAAGATTGCTTTATATGTTTTGTATTGAACAGATCAACGCGAACTGCAAAGTGAACCAGGTTCCGTTCCCGGCAGTCAGCATCTGCAACTATAACATGGTGTCTGCGAGGGAATCACAAAATATTGCCAAACTTCTGTAAGTATACTAGTACAAGTAAAAATATGTCTCCAAATTCTGAATATATATGTAATATATATCTATGTGTGTATTTATGATAGGTCGGCAAACGAGCAGACGGATTACCTGATGGTAAGCAATCAGCGCCGCCCATAGACACCTGCAACAACTGAGGAGTTGTCGACCTTTTGGGAATTAGGAATTTGGAGATTTAGGGATTGGGGGAGGGGAAGGATTGGGCCTCCGGTAAGCTCACTCACTCAGCGAAATTCAACGTAAGTGGTACTTCACGCCGGTTTTCTGTAAGGCCGTGGTATCACTCACTCCGGTCGAACCGACCCATTCGTACCGAAGCATGGCTCTCCCACATTTGCAGTGCTTGCTAAAATTATAAAACGGTGATAAATGTATTTTTTTATTGAATTAATCTTATTCATAACTGTCATGGCCGCGAGCAGTAAAGTCTGAGACTGATAAAATTATATTTCTGACACTGGAAACCTAGTCAGAATAAAATATTAACTCTTGTAATGTTTTAAGTTTTTTTTGGTATATGTCGGCAAACGAGCTTACGTTTTACTTAATGACAAGCAATCGGCGCCGCCCTTTTGTGGATTATTACGTATTTATGGTTATAACAAATTTTTAAAGTAGTAAAGATTGATAATTATAAATTTATCGTTGTCGCAATGATTTGTGATGAATGACGTGTATTCTTTGGAACCGCTCTGGTCGGATTGCCAAAATTCTTTCAATTATAGATAGATACAATGTGTTTGTGATTTAGGCTAAAAAATCACGCTACGATCAAATGGAGCCGAGCAGCAGGTTAAATCACGCGACAATAGTTAGCAATATATGTTGAAACTTTGACTATATTTGATTTTTGTAAGTGACTAAAATAAGAAAATCTCACTAATAATCTCAACTAAATAAATCTTTTTCCTATGCGATTTTTATCACCGGATCGAGGTAGAAAGATGATTATAAAGATTTTAGAAATAAAAATAATAATTTCCTTAATTTATTGACATTTTACAACCTCTCAATATTTAATACAACAGTGAAATTGTGTTGTTTTCCTTACTTGTCGGAAAGGCGCGTTGTATGGCGTTTAGCGGCACTTTAGTTAAGAGGCAAATAATATATCTATAGGCTACCTTTTCCCTTGATCAAGCTGACAAAGTAGCCGGCGAAAAGCTACTACAATACTCGTATACAGTTATACATATTAACATCGCCAACTCACGGAACAGGACTCTTTACTCTATTTAAAGTAAATAAATAATTATTAAATACGTATTGTTATGGGATTAACTGAAAAAATACACAGAATTGTTTGCTAAATGATAAAAATCAAAATAACATTTTTTACAACAATATTAAAATATTTTCTTGTGAGTTCGTGACACTTTCTATGAATAAAATGTTCTTGGAGAATGAATCTTGCCTACTTAGGTATCGAGTTTTTATTAAATTCCAAGTGACGATTCCAGGAAATAACATTCCATATTGAAGTTTATATGCTCGGTGGGATTCTTTTGTTAAGAATTTATTTATTTTATTAAGTAGTTAGTAAGGAATTATATAAGAAAGTTCGTAGGTATTGTTAAACTTTATTTCCTATGTATGTCTAATCCAAAATAATCTGGTCAATGTAATTTGATCAATATAATTTGATAGTCAAAATTGTTTTTGAATAAATTAACGTTTTAAGTTCAACGTCTATTAAGAATTATGAATCTAAACAATTTGCACCTGTTTGTATCTTTTTCATTTTGTTAGCTGGAAAACTGTAGTGAGTTTATATAAAGGACAAATAAGACTTATCAGGAGAGCGCTCGGTGGGTGACAGTGGGGATGCGCAAGGTACCCCGCCTGTAGACAGTAAAATTTTAAGTTGTTGTCTTGATATCTTTTGTGATAGGCATATTGCTTCCTTACTTACTTCTAAACTTTCGCGTTTCATAAAACATATTATTATACGGGTATTAATCAGTCTATTTGCGACCACGACCGTGCACCAAGGTTGAAATGTCAAGCCTACTAAGGTGTTTAAATAATTACTTTTCGCTTTAATACCCGATTAATAATATGTTCTCAATACGGTTTCTTTAATGATTTATAATCTAAAAAAATCGGTAATTAATAAGAATTAAAAAACTCAAACTATTGTCATTCTTTGTTTTAAGCACATCTACACACAGGGTATTAGTTATACCTTACAGAGATTTTATTTTAGCCATTACTCAAAGTCAGTTAGTTTGACCCAATTTTGACACCGTTGAGAGGCGTGGTGTAAAGTTATAAAGCCATTGCCCCCGGATAATTTATTACACACACACACTGTCACAATAATAAAAATAAATATAATATATGAGATTATGGCTGTTTTTAAAAGGTTAAATGAATAACACCAATATGCGTTAGCTCAACAAGCAAGAAAATCAATGTCAGAATGAAAATCAACATTTTCAAAAGGTTTTAAGTAAATATAAAACGATGTAGAATTTCGGTATCTTAAAACATAAATCAAAGTTACATGGAATGACATTTAGATATGTTGCTTTTAAAGTTTTGGTATAGAAAACGCACTTAGCTAGCTCCACTAATGAATAGACTGACAGGCTACTCTGTTTCTGACGTTTCAAAAGAATCCGTGTGTGGTGAAAATTAAAGCTTTGACTTGGATCTTTATAAACCAATTTAAAATTGTTATTGTTATTACTAAGGAACATCTGTTGTCCTAGATTCTACTTATAAACGTAACATAAACAGCTAATAAGTTTAAGTTGCTCAAAATAACTACTGTTATCCATTATCGTTCATCATTGATCATAATAAGTTACCAAAATAATTACCATAGTCTGTGTAGTTTTGGATGAAATCAAAACTTAACTTTGGACTACTTCGAAATATTTAATAGCAAAGAAGCAACCTACTCGCACAGAATACCTATACTGGTTCTAATTATTCGTACATCTCCAGTTAGACCACAACAATAATTCCAATAAATGCTATTAACAGAAGGTCCAAGACTAATATTGGCATTCCGCAAATTCTGTTGTTCATAAGGACAATAGTGGTTATTTGGAGTTGCCTTCCTAGGATTCCAATGTAATGATTATGATTCCAGACATTCGGAATTCAAAATTAAGCCGGACTAGTATTCCGCGTACGATTTCACCTGGATGGTCATTAGCATAGCCTTTACAGCCTTTCAATCTCCTATCTGTAAACACAAAAAAATAAATGTAGGTACTTTCGCATTTATACATTAGTAGTATATCTATAATATCCTTATTTGGTACATTTTCCACAAAAATCTGGTAAAATTTTACCTAGAAGGTGAAGTTTTAAAGGTTGATACTTTCAGCTGCTAATTGAATTGGATATTTCAATTTCCAGTTCAATATAGTCTAGTGACTAGGTGAAAAAATGTGAGATTTATTTTGAGAAAAAACTGTAACCTATTCTTTACATCAATTTTGCAAACATTACAATAAGAAGTTTCATAACTTGCCATTTTTATAAATAGTAACAAGAACACACACAAGAAAACTGTATATGTACTTCAATGAGTGTTGTTGCACACTTCATTTCATCCAGAACGACGTGTAATTTTCAGGGATTACGAAGAAGCAACGACATGTAACTCACGCAACGATTCCCAATAGAAATCTAGAAACGGTTTTCACTTTCTCAAATTGAAAAACTTTCATAACAATGAAAATGTGAAATGCTTCACGCAAGTTACGAGACTTGAAAATAACAACTCTCCTTTTTATGCAAAAGGAGGCAAACGAGCACATGGATTACCTGATGGTAAGCAATCTGCCCTGATCATGGACATTGGCAGCACCAGAGGGATCATAACGACGTTGCCGGCCTTTGACGAAGGAGATAGTTTTTTGAAGGGTTGAACGTTGTACCGGTTCGCATATTCCGTCGACGACTATCAAAAGTTTTACGAACAGTAGTTTTTAATTGTCTGCCAACCATAAATGTACATAGGAGACGAAAGTGCTGTTGGTTAGTTTCGACGGTGAAAGTTGAAAAGACGTGACGAATGACAATTAAAAATCAAGGGAGCTACTACCATCAATTTTATTCGATTGTGATTAATTTGGCTCACCTACTACAAGACAAACTCAAACCGTACAACAAAAAACTCAAACAGTGTTATTTTAATGTTTAACGTAACTGCTGACATAGTTTACAAGTTTTGTTTTTTAATGTCACTAATCATAATGGCTAACCCGCGATTTTTAGTTAATTTAGTATGTCTCACGATAGTTGTTGTAAAAACAAATCATGTGTCATGTTATTATTTTAAAATAAAATATAATATATAATTTTTCCACATATTTTGAAATCGAAATCCAATAAAATTGTAACCCAAATTACACCTTCCTTTCTTTCACATTTTCACATAGTTTTATAAACACATTTGTGTATTTTAGGAGACAATACAAGAAGCCCGAAGAAGAAATCATAGAATTTTTCAACGCCCTACCGTCTCTGAAGAACTATGGCAAGTCGAGTAGAGGTCTTGGAAACTTCTCGGACATTATGAACATATTGAAACACCATGTCTTTACTGTGGACACTATCATGGAAGAGGTACGTAATGTGCAAAATATATTATTTTTCATGGTTTTATTTCTTATTTATATTCTGGTAGTGTCTATTTTAAAGTATGACTTTTTCTGAAAACTATACATCATATCAATATTTTATGGTAATGAAACAATGAAACAATGAATTTATTTTTGCAAATAGGCCATACAACAACACTTTTACACGTCAAATTATATGTGAAAACTAGACGAAGCCGGCATTTCCTATCTGACTACTCTGAGAAGAAATGCCGAAACAAACTCAGAGGTCAGTCTCTTTTCAAGTCCAGACAATGTAAAATAACATAATGTGAGAGAATCGTGCAAGTTCATTCTGTAGTGGTCTTTTGAGGAAAGAACCACACCAGTTTAAGTGGGCCCGTTCTGAAGACAGGCACGCAAGTGTCAGTTTGCAACCAGTATAGCTAGTGCTGCTGAGTTGTCCGACGAACAATGTCGTGTGTGTAATATGTCGCGGTGGCCTACCTGATGGATAAGGCGCCTTCTTTGCATGAATGAGGTCTATGCGAGATTGTCTATTCATTAGTTAAGTTTTATGCATTACGATTTTTTGGAGTTTTGGGGATTGGGGGACGTTCAAAACTTGTAACAAAATCATAAAAGAGAAGAATTTTATTAAATAAGGGTGGTCAATCATCATTATTATCATCATCAGCCTATAAGTGACCACTGCTGAACAAAGGCCTCTTGTCACACAGAACAGGTTTGAACATTAATCACCACGCTTGCTCAATGCGGGTTGGCGATTTCAAACTTATCACGATGTTTTCCTTCACCGTATGTCAGTGGTGTTTAAATCATACAAACTACATATAACTCGAAAAAAGTCACATTGGTACTTGCCAGGTTTCGAACTCACTTCCTAATGCATAAGAAGCGGGGCCCTTAACCTCCGGGCCACCACGACGATGGGTGTTTAATATTTAATTAAATTTACAGGTCCATCAAAAGTGTGAAAATTTGATCCTCTACTGCACATTTAATCGGAAGCCAAAGGATTGTCAGGACATGTTCTCCCTGGTCAAGACTTATGAAGGTCATTGCTGCACCTTCAACTATGCTGCTCTTAATGATGCCAGTGAAATGTAAGCACAATTGGTTATTTCACACAGTTTATCTTAAAGGCAAAAATATTTATCTTTTTATTTTTATATCAAAAACAAATATGAATATCGGGTTTCATTTTTAAGCTCTGTCAATACCACCGGGCGGTTTTAGCGCGAAATTTATTCATCATAGTGTGAAGTATTTAATTTTAATAAAATAATACTTTTGATGAGAGAAAACAGGTGTATAGTCTGTATAGCGTGTCATTTTGAATGCTTCAAAATATTTTACAAAACGTTTAACTAGTAGTATAAATGTTTTATTGCCTATATGATGAGAAAGTGAATATAAATGTTGATTTTTTGTTTACATACAAATATTTCTCGGTAAACAAAGAACTTGAATTTTACGTACTATTTTCATCTTGCAAAATCGTATTACTAATATAGAAAAATAATAAATATTCTAAGATAATGCCTGTTATAGTACAGGAAATATTTTATCTAAATAGTTTTAAACGTAATTTAATTGCATAAAAGACATAGTAACTATACTATCTAAGGATGTAACAACTACACTAGTATAAGTTCATGTTGCGAACACATCCAACTTCGAGGATCCCGCTGAGTTGCTTTAGTAATTGGACATACAAAAATAAAAGTTATTCCAGAAATTTCCCATCATTATTCAGGTTAATAAACCGTGATTTATTACTGGTGATATTAGTTATATTTGACCACATTAGCTCCTTCAATACTTTTATTATGATTAGTAATGGAAGGACAGGTATTATGTGATACAATAAAGTGTAATTACGATAGCAATGGGCTCACTGGGAGATTTGTTATGTCCATTTATGAACTTCAATTATACCATTATTTGGTAAAATAGACTCAGTATTAATAGAAAATTCGACAAACTTCATAAAAAAATTAAAAAGATGAAAAACTTCTGTGTAAAAATTTCAAAAATGGAAACTATTTATTCATTGTTGTTGTTAAATTTGTGCATTTTGATGTACTAAGTAATAATTTCTTTTTAGACCCCTGCTTCCATCAGAACCAGATCCTGATTTGGAATACTATGACGATCAGAATCCTGATGGTGGAATATCTACGAACCCAACTATAATAGCTACTTCAGAATCCGGCAGGTAAAGAACAAATTTTATTTTGAAACTATTCCCTCCACTCCCTTTAAAGAAGAGAAGTAATACTATGAACATATTTGTGTGAGATGATATCTAATATCTATGTATAATTCAGTATCTAGCACGGTAAACAAGGCAAGTGTGAACTGAATTATAAGGATGAATAGATACTAGGAAAATTCCTCAACTTGTATTCATCTCACCCCTTTTTGTATCTTTTCACCTCTCGAATGTTGTTCAACACGTTTTACTTATCATATAGTATACATATAAGTAGGCCGTAAAATCAATAAATAAAAGTGATAATATTTTTTAATGCCTACATCAGCAAACGAGTAGTCTACCTTAGTACTTTATGGTAGACAATCGGCGCCGAGTTTGATCATTAATTTTTGTGGGTATCGGTGGAGCCGGACCATTCGTCTCGAAGCATGACCCTCCCATTACTGCTTGAAAAAGTCAAAATAAATGTATCTTTGACTATAAAACGTACCCAAATTATTGATATTCATAATGCAACCTAAGGTTGTCTGGATTTTGAACCAGTTCCATCAATCAAAATCATTAGCTTCCAAGAAAACAGACTGAACTACTTTATTGAAATCTTCTAAAACATAAATATTTGGTTTTAAAGCAAAAGGGTCATTCACACTTGTTATTATAACTGTACAGAAATTAATATTGCCGAATGTTTACTTTTAAACTCGAATAATTGAATAAGCGATAAATTACAATCTGAATTTATTCAACAACTGATAATAACATAAAATATAGTCTAATTTGGTCCCCAAAATATACGAGAAGATCATCTTGTTAATTGATAACCGTAGTTGGATGTGAAAGGCTATTGATTAACATAAGTGGTGGCGTGAAAAGACATGAGAAGAGTGAGATGAAGAGGAAAGAATTAAAACTTTCTAATAATAATATTTTTACTGTCAGATAAATTATTATCAGTGCCTCTAAGTTTGGGGACAACTGATATGTTTGGGAGAACAATACTTCGATATGACAAGGCAGCTCTACCTGAGGGATACTGTGGTCTCACAGAACACCGGTCTTCCCGGTCAACATCTGAGCAAGTTTAACGGAAGCCTAACTTACCTCGACTCCACAATTTGTTTATACTCCCAATCATCAATTTCTTAATCCTTTAGACCGCCAAAGGACTTCTATGGTTTTGCAAGTGTCCATGGCTGGTGCCATTGTTTGCATGTCTGCTCGTTAGCCCTATTAAAACTATGATGTGATTCTAAAGCATTCTTACTCCAAACATCTATACTTTCATGGCGGGAGAAATCATTGAACGATTTCCGAATTTTAAAGAAAGCACCTTCGCCTCATGGACCCGTTCTATGTTCAATTGTCTGATCTATAATATATTTTCAGAGGTTCAGGTTTAAGTGTGGTGCTCAATATAGAACCCAACGACTACCCAAGCTGGTCTCCAGTACCCTATTATGGCGTGAAGGTATCTATACCATTTTTTTTGTTTGAATGATCACAAAAACTGTACCCACAAAATGTACTTTTAAAGTTTTATAATTTTGGTTTATACTACAACTGTGAAACTGGCCACTTGCATTTTTTTATCATTTTTGCCTTACACAACTTTAAGATGTACATATGTCTATCATGTCTATAAGTAAATAAAGCAAAACAAAATAGATTTACTCTTAAACATATCGATAGGACAAAGTTTGTATACTTAATGTAAAATTCCATGCATTGCTACCAAAGAAACAAAGCTGAGTTGAACCGCTAGTTTATAACAAAAACACGCTTCGAACGACATGAAAAGAAAAAAATACTATAAGAATGCTTAAAAGACTTGGTAATATAATAAGAAAACCCAAATACGTATTTACTTGTACTATTAAGTACATATTTACGAACGCATTAAGGCGAAAAAGGGGGTAAACTAACCACCCATTAGCTTTTACTCCACTAATAAATTACTTAGATACAAAATATTAGATAAGAACAAATTCTAGGTAAACCTTCTCCAGAATAATTATCTTGGTAGCTAAATTACTAAAATGTATTTTGGCTTTAGGACCAAAACCTTTGGCAGAGATATTGGTACACCATCTTTTGTTTTATTTTGATGAGAAACCGGTCAATGTAGTCATGACCACAAACAAGGAGGTATTGATTATACGTATATAAACGATTAATCTATACTATCTTTACTGATATTATAAACGCGAAAGTAACTCTGTCTGTCTGTCTGTCTTTTCACCACGCCTAAACTACTGAATAGATTTTTGTGAATTTTGGTACAGACATGGTTTGGAACTCGAGAAAGGACATAAAAAATAGTTTTTAAACCAAAAATCTGCAGGAAGCCCCTATTCTACGCGAACGGAGTTGCGGGCAAAAGCTATTCAAATATTTTTCAGGTTAAATGTTGTGCTAATTATTAAATAAAACATCAAATTTTCTTTAGTCCTTACAATGTTTATTACAAGCAATTTGTTCAACAAGTCAACAACTCAAGAATTTATTAGTCTACTTAGTGATAGTTATAAAGTTATAGGAACAGCTTTTAAAAACCTAAACTTTTGTCCAACTGCTAAAATTTTTGTCTGAAATGTAAGTAGACTAAGACTTAAATTTATTGCTTAGCGCTGAAATCAATACGGTTCTCGTTCGAGGACAGATTTAATGTTTTTTATGTAATGGACGGCAAACGACCACAAGGATTGCCTGATGGTAAGCCATCGGCGCCGCCCATAGACACCCGCAACACCGGGGGAGTTTTGAGTACGTTGCCGGCGTTTAGGGATTAGGTTTTTGAAGATTTAGAGATTGGGGATAGGAAAGATTGTGCCCCCGGTAACCTCATTTTATTGGCGAAACACAACGTCGTGGTTGTTTCACGCCGGTTTTCTTTGAGGGGGTATAACCCCGGTCGAGCCAACCCATTTGTCGGCACGAAGTTTGGCTCTCCCAAAATTACAAAAACAAAATTAAACATAACACATTGTCGAATTTCACAACATCTTTTTACAAAAGACATAATTAAACATGATAATGAAAACCAAGTGTACGAAATCTCTATTCCAACCAAAGTTCTTAATGAATTACTAATGAATTTGACCAAGAAGGTAATTAGAATACGTTCCGCTACGGGAGATTAAGTAAAATGTACCATTTCTGTGCATCGAAGGCTGAACTAATACTGTTGTGGAAAATGGAATATTAACTGTGTGTTAGTGGTTTTTAAGTTAAATTTATATATAACTAGCGACCCATTTATATATATAACAAGTGAACGATTTTTTTAGTTTATTAGTCCTTTTATCGAGGAACGTAGGAACTACGATCTGTAGGACCACAGCAGCGAGCAGGTGAAACCGCGCGAGAGTAGCTAGTGTTAAATAAGGTTTGATATTACAAATACCAATAATTATTAATATTCGTCGAAATAAGTAAAGGCTCCTAGACAACATTTATTTAATACAATTAAATTATAAATGAATATTTTACCTTAAATTTATGGAGAATGTTATAATTCCGGTTTTTAGAAATTGTTTTAAAGGTTAATCAAAATATCAAGTGCTGTTCTTTTCATGTTTTCATAGAATGCCAGTGAAAACTTATTTTACGTGGAAATTTTCAGTAAAACGGGCCTATGTTATATATACTTTTATTCGAAATGCCCAACAAAAAGTTTTTTTTGGAAAACAATATTTTTATGAATTATTGAAAAATCCAGAACACTTGTCGTAAACAATGTAATAAAAAGCTTTTCATATTTCAGGTTCTTTTAAGCGATCCAAACGACTATCCAGAAACCACGGTCCTCTACCGATATGTAACCTTTGGGGAGTCAGTGGACATCAAAGTGGAACCGATGGTCTTCCAGAGCGACTCCAATGTGCGAAGAGTGGAGCCTCAGTACAGGGGCTGTTGGTTCCATGATGAAGTGCTTCTCAGTCATACTAACCGATATAGTTACGAAACCTGTGTTACTGAATGCAAGATGAGGAACTATATTAATGCTTGCCACTGTGTGCCTTATAAATATCCGAGAGGTAAGCTTTTGTTATACAAAAGAGCACTTTTAAACGTCAAAAGATAAATAAAGAAGTTCCTGTTTAATTTATAGAATCAGGCGTTACTTTGCGGAAATCCATGACATAAATATTAGGAAAAATATTCAGTTTTTATTCCGCTACAAAAATCCAGGCTTGTTGCAGGATGCAATCCCACTCCTATGCGACCATGCATATGCATATGTAGCAAAGGTAACAATAACATGCATATGCATATGTAGCAAAGGTAACATGCATATGCACACGTGCAAAAAATGGAAAAACATGCCACGCATTCAAACCTATACTCGACAAATATAAGTTCCTGTTTGCCGATCAATTCATAACGCTATTCGTTCATTCTAACGTACAGATTCCTATTGCGAAGCAAAAGCAAAAATGCAAAAAAAAGACAATGAACTAAGCGTTCATTAAAAAAAAGGTCTTCGAAGTGTTTTCAATTAAGTCAAAAGTCCTCAACAACCATCCAAATAGCGGAATATACTTCTCTCTGCCAATTTAACCAAAACCTCGAGAACCAATTAAGACATTTACCTAGTTGGCGTTAATTAGAAACCAAGTTAACAATATTGAGTTATTCAACCTCACTTATTGTTCCAGAAAAATCGTTGAGAATCTGTGATTTTGAAGACCTGAAGTGCTTGAACAACGTAACAGGTAAATTGAGTGAGAAATGAGTAATGAGGTATCATGTTACGAGGTAAAAAACTAAAACTCCGAAAGCTTATTTATTAAAAATATCGATTGAATTTATTTCTAGGTAAAATGCCATCAAAATGTTGGAGAAAACCATTCATAAAATTTACCGAAACATTTTCAATCCGTTTTTCTATTTATCGCTTTCTGATTTAAAATAATTCAGTTATTCCAGTTATTTCATTTGTTTTGAAATTCATTATAGTTTGTGTGAAATGATATCAAATCAATGTACAGTAGGGACCTATATTGACATTACAACAGATTGATTGAATAACGTACCTACGTTCCGATTCAATTTAACGTCTAGACTGTGGCCTTGAATAAAATAATTAAATAAAACCGCGAAAACATCGGTGTCACTAATAAATAAATAAGATCTAGCCTGAGTTTTTGATCAAATACACAAATACTATATTTGAAATCCTCGATTATAATCCTCCTTGATAATCCTTTGAAATATGCACATTGTAGCATGGCATTATACCTGTATTCTTTTAAAATTAATATAAAAAAATAAAGAAAATTTAATACAAGTAATAACATTTTATCGACAGAGAACAAAAAATAATAATTTTCATTTAACTCTCATTTCAATATCAATATTAAATTTACACAAGTATTTAATTTAAAATCGTTCTATCTTCACTTAAATTGTGAATAAAATTAATTTATTTTGTGTAGCTAAGATAGTGTAGATCTTAAACATATATCTTTGCGTATATAGATGATATTTTCTTGAACTTAAAACCTCGGAGGATTTAAATAGAGATATAATAGGTTATTAGGTATAGTACAATATTAGCGCGGCTTAGATTGCCATAGCTATAGTAAACAACGTCATTATTTAGTACTTACTTGAGTATTAAGCTTCTTAAAACTAAGTAGTACTTAGGTACTAGGTTATACTGGAAATAATTTCATATCTTGCTAAACTGGTTGGAGAGGAGAGGAGTTGCGTTGCTGGTTGGGAGCCCTTACTTTAAACACGCTTTGATTGTTTCACTTTTTGAAAGTAACTGCAAACGTGCAGACGGATTACACTTTTTGAAAGTGTAATCGTGTGTTTGTTTCACTTTTTGAAAATGACTGCAAACGAGCAGACGGATTACCTGATGGTAAGCAATCGACGCCGCCAATAAACACCCGCAACAACGGAGGAGTTACGAATGCGTTGCCAACCTAGGGTTTTGGATTAGGATTTTAGGGATTAGGGAAGGGGAAAGATTATTTCGCCGTTACTACTACTGCCTACTCATGTTATAAACTCGAAAGATGTTTGTTGATTTTCTCTCGTCGGAGACAAGACGGACGTATCTGAATGATAATTTTCACGTTGATAGATTATTTAATCTGAAATAACGAATGGGGTTTTTTTATACTGGTACTCTACGCGAAGCAGCTGACAGAAACTAGTTTAAAATAATATGGTAAGAAAGTTGTATAGATTATGTAGTTCTATAAAGCGAGAAACCAAACAATTATAATACTAAACTAACATGAAAGAATATGTTCAATTAGCAGAAGATAACGTTGTACATTTTGATTATCTACATAGTTTAAGTTGGTCTTGATGTTTCTACGTAATAATATGATAATCATACTCATTAGTCCAAAATATTTAATTTATTGCTTTGAAGCTTCACCCATCATCATCATAAAGTTAGCTACAAGCCATACATAAGTGTGAGAGAGCCATGCTTCGGCACGAATGGGTCGGCTTGACCGGAGTGATACCACGGCCACAAAGAAAACCGGCGTGAAACAACCACAGTGTTGTGTTTCGCCGTGTGAGTGAGGTTACCGGAGGCACAATCCTGCCCCTTCCCAATCCCTCCCCAGTTCCTAAATCTCCAAATCCCTAATCCCTAACAGGTCGGCAACGCACACGTAACTCCTCCGTTACGGGTGTCCATGGGCCGCGCTGGTTGCTTACTATCAGGTAATCCGTCTGCTCGTTTGCCGACCTATTCTATAAAAAAATACATACACTTTTAGCCATTTAAGGAAATTGGGGGCCGCGAAAATTAATACTATATATTTATTCTTTCCTTTGTGCACACACCATATTAAACCACAATAAATATAACTTATAACCAGTGTGGTAGAGCCATGGCTCGGCACGAATGGGCCGGAGTGATACCACAGCTCTACAGAAAACTGGCGTGAAGCAACACTTGCGTATGTTTCGTCGTGTGAGTGAGGTTACTGGAGGGCCGATTTGAAAAATATACAGAATATTAATAAAATGCTACTATAAATATCTAGGACTAACTTCAAGAGGAAATATTTAGTTATTTTTTTACAAGTTTTTTGAAAACGGAGATGGACTTGGCGTCACGTAGATTGATAGGCGGCAGCGAATTTCACCGGATTTTTTATTGATTCAACTTCAAGGTCAAATTATGTATGTTTTATTGGTATTTGAATTTCCTGTACTCATATGGATTCACCCTTTTTTGTATATTACAATAGATTAAAGCTTAGAACTGGCAAGGAAACAATAATTTAGGCTATTTTGATGTATTAATTGTATCCTTCTCTGTTTATATAAAAACTAGCAAAGTCCTGCAATTTTTTGTTATAAAAACTATTCTGTGTCCTTTCTCGAGTTCCAAAATGTACCAAATTTCACACAAATAGGTTCAGTAGTTTAGGCGTAACGAAAAGACAAAAGGTGTAGACCAATTACCAATTGGTTTTGGGATTGTTATTATCACGATTTTATGTAAGAAAATGTTACAAAAGTGGGAAGTAGCCGTTTCACAACAGTACGAAACAGAAGCGTGTTGCCGTATATACAAGGATGGTAACAACAGGAATTAACAGTATCTATATACTAAAAAACAATGGACCTACTTAATTTTTGAGAGCTATTCCCTTTATGAACTTCCACTGAAGGCTAAGGCTTACACAAGAGTCGCGCTTCGAGTCTTGAAATTACATCTCTTTTAACATCCACTACTTTATAACATAGCGATAGTAACATTCATCTTCTCTGTCGTCACTATACAACAAACAAAAATTGTTTTTTTGCAGTACACAAATCTACGAAGGAAATGAAGTGTGATCCTATTTGCTACATGGAATGCCGCGACAAGAAGTATACAGCTACCAGCGACCTGACTCCGTTCCTGCCTGACAACTTTCCCGTGGAAGTCACGTATGTATAATGCCTTACCTTACAACAATATCTTGATCCTTTATTTCTTTTCAAGGGTGACTAAACTTAATAGTAAAAATTATCTAAATACTTCAAAAGTATTTTGCGAATGATAGATGATAGATTTTTAATTTATATACATATGTTTTGTTAAGAATCTTATCTGCACACTATGATTTTGTATAAAACCTACAAACTGTTTTCCTTGATTTCCTTTAAAAATAATATCAATAACTTTAAGCTACAGCTCTTTTATTTTACGAACCCTGATTGTTCGATTCGATTTAAAATATACTTTTAACGATTAAATGATAAAGACATTTATTTCCTTAAAACAAAACAGATACAAAATAGTTTTTTTTTGTGCGAGAAAATCGTCAAAAGACTTTGCCCGCCCAAGGTCGGGCGGGAGAGAGTGTTAGACTCTTACTGACTAAAATTTCCCCTCTTCCTTCTTCTGCTCTATGCTGAGGCCGCGGTGCTTCATTGCGCTGGTCACGCGACCACAAAATTTGAAGACAGATCATCATACTTTGCTTGATAAATAAAGCATGCATATTTTAAATTATTTTTTATGATTAATTTATTATAACTCATTACGTAATTCAATTCAATTCAATTCAATTCAATAATTAGGTATAGCTTCTTTATCAAAAAAACTTTGTTTTTTAGACCTCACTAGTCATAGAAAAAAATTCAATCATGTTTAAGGAATAATTTCGTAATTAAAAGTGAGCATAAAAGTGACGTTTCACCTATAATACATTGTTTTCATAATTTTTGGTTATATAAATAATGTTTTTTTCTGAATTGTATTATGAATTCAGAAAGGTCTAGAAAAGACTATACTATACTACCACTTTCTTAGTATAATGGGCCAGAAAGTGTAGCAGTTTTTTCCCTTTACTAAATTTCCAAGTAGTTTACCTAGCGCTTTTTGTAGTTCTTTAAAGATATAAAAATTCTGTTAGTAATAATAATATTTTCGATAAAAAACTTTAGACTTCTAGTGTTCCCAGAGTTCGCGGGCAAATATTTGGTATTAAAATCAAATATGTTTAGTTACCAAAATTTCCAACAAAACAATTAGCTTAGACGTACTTAAGTACCTATATGTCCATTGTTTTTAAAAACTTGCAAGTGTAATTTGATACCATTCTAAGTAGGAAAATGATAAAAAACTAGTTATTCCTTTTGACACAATTTTGTCACTTACAAGTACATATCTAGTAAGTTTTTTCCTGATAAATAATAGTAATTTGTTTTTATTTTTCTATATTATATCTATCTATAATATAAAATAAATTCATATTTTGTTCCATCAACAAAATTTGACAAATATTTATTAGTTGTCCACCACCGATAAAAAATCGATAATTTGTTGAAACTTTAAAAGTAGATTACAAAGACCTCACAGCTTACTTCTTTTATTATCTGAAGCACTGCTCATTATTAGTTGGCAGTAAAGAAAAAAAAAGAAAAAGGATTTCGATATAATTTTAAAAAGGATCCGGCAAACTTAGTAAGCCAATTACTGAGTTTTAAAACTTTTAATTGCTGGTATAAAGTTTTTTTTGTATAACCGGCCAGTGTTATGTACTAGTAAAATTTTAACAATAAAATCAGTTAAGTAAAGTTTAATAATGAAAAAATAAACAACAACAATTGATTGGTTGACTTTTGTTCAAGTTTAAACTTGAATTAGATTTTGTACATATCTTATTTAATTTTCTGGGCTACCAGTTTTCTTTTAGTGTTGGAGAGCAATGCTTAGACAGGGATCGGTCATTTTGCGGCCTCTCCGAAAACCGACCTGAAACAACCTTTCGTTGTATTTCGCCATCTGGCTTCAACAACAAGGTTGCTGGAGAACCAAACCTTCCCCTCCCCCAATTCCTAAATCTCCAAATCCTTATTCCCCAAAAGATCGGCTACGTATTCGTAACTGCTCTATTTTTGTAGGTGTTCATGGGCGGCGCTGATTGCTTACCATCAGGTAATCCAACATCTTTTTGCCCACCTATCAAATAAAAAATATACCATTTTACTTCTCAAGATTGCAAAGAGTAAGAGTAGTTCTTATTAAGGATTTTTTTACTAGTCCTCTACTTCTACATACATTACACATACCCACATTTTGAAAGGAGTGTCTAACTACATTGATGTTTCAAAAGGGTCTTTAGTGCTTGTAGATTAATGAAATTAAAATATTTTAACAGCATAGTTGCCGTTGCCACATTCTGTGAAGAAACCCAGTAACGTGTTCCACAAGTTGTTGTTTTAAAAACGCTTAAACGCTTGCTTCACTCGTGACTCATTCAGTTCCTCATGCTATACAAATTCACTTTACTACTAGATAATAGTTACTGGTAGTTAGTTTGTAACTGATTGGTAAGAAATCCTTTAAAAAAAATTGTTTTAACTAATTATCAACTTTTCAGTATAAACATTTCAGTCTAAAATGATATCCGACCCTGATCAAAACGTTCGACTTTAATATTCATTTAATTCAACAACAAAGCCTGTTTTGGCTCTAACAAACTTTTAAATTGGTGTTTCGTACACAATAATTGACACCCCACGTCTGCTTTGAAACATTTTGAGGAAGAACCTTTTAGCGAATTTTCAAATTCAATATTATACCCTTTTTCATATGTAATGAATCCTATCTGAATTTCAGAGAAAACAGGAAAGCGCTTTTTGTATGTTTCAAACAGTAATTATGTGTCTTACATGTTAATGTTAATGTAACTCTGATTATTTGTTGTGTCATTAAACTCCTTCGTAGGTCAAAATTAAGGTCATATATTACGATGTATGGAGAACAGAGTATGTATAAAGGGGCATCCTTTAGTTCTGCTAAGAGAGGATTCTTTGAGTTCGTTTTTGGTTAACTTGGGTGCGAGGTCACTGTCTTATTTCACTAGTGCGCGATGAAGGACTTCGTTTTGGTCATTGCTACTACATATGTATACCCTAAGCGTCATTTTGCCAGAGTAAACTCAAGCCTATCGAAAATCTTAACATTTCCTAAATACATATTTATGAATAGAATTTTCTTTTACTCCTGTTTTTATTACATGGTACCCTAATCAAACTCAAACAAACCCACGTTTTATTTACTCAAGTAGATGTATCAGTTTCCTCGGAAACATTTTCATTCATTCAATATTATTCATAGCTATGAATTTGTTTTTAAAAGAGTAAGGACTACGGTTTTAATGTAACGACTATAGAGTGACCTTTAAATATTTATTGATGTGAATAATTGAATGTTAATGAATGAATCATTTTACATTAAGCACAATACATTAGGTTGTTAACTAAACTGACCAAAAGTGAGTGTTACGTTTTTAATTCGGAGAAGAGTCAGAGAAAAAGGAAGTGTAGGAGTACATGGTTTGGCCGCTCGACAGGAGTTATACCACGGCCTCACAGTATACTACTTGTAACTCCTTAAGACTTACGCGTGTTTATAGCCGGTGCCCATTGCTTAGTATCAAGTGATCCGTTTGCCGATCTATAATATTAAAAATAAAATTGTAATAGTTCTATTACTGATATATTTTTGAATAAGCGAAAAATCCCGTTAGTAAATTCCTACTCGACCGCCCTAAGACACTTGTAATTAACCAGGCCATCAACGCACTTGTAATAACTTCTTGTTATTACAAGTGCATTGATGGTCTGTTGACCGTTCGTGCCGAAACATGGCGCTTCACATTTGCGACTAACGACGTACTGAGACCAAAAAAGTATGAAAACATTTGCAAAATAACCCTCTGGCACCACCACGTCGTTTTTTGAGTTATTTCGTTCAATTTCCGCAATTTATAGAGAGTTTATTGGTTGCTCCTTTCGTATCTTAACTTTCATTTAATTATTATCTACGTGATACTGACACTAAATCAATATTTTACTCATGGTCGCCACTACACTGAGTTGCTAGAGTTGCTGTCAATCGCTGCGATGTACCGCAGCCCAGGGCTGGAGGAAATATTTGACGATGATTTTCCTCTTTCAAAAAATATATATAGAGCAAGAGCCCTTGACGGCCAGACCTTCCTTATTTTATAGTAGTAGTAGTATTATTCGCGCTCGCACCTACAGTGGACTTTCTATGTGTCTGGCAAGATGTAAAAACCACAATGACTGTCCGGCTATTGAGGTAACATCTTTTTATAGGTCCTCAAGTAACATAATATCTATATATATGTAAAGGAAAGTCGTGTTAGTTACTCCACTTATAACTCAAGAACGGCTGAACCGATTTAGCTGAAAATTGGCAAGGAGGTAGTGAAGAGCCAGGAGAAGGACATAGGATAGAGTAGGTAGTGTAGGTTAGGTAGAGTAGGGTAGGTAGAAAAAGGTAGGTGGAGTAGGGTAGGTAGAGTAGGTAGAGTAGGATAGGTAGAGTAGGGTAGGTAGAGTAGGGTAGGTAGAGTAGGGTAGTTATAGTAGGGTAGGTAGGGTTAGGTAGAGTAGGGTAGGTAGTCAAATGACGGAAGCGAGGCCGCGGGTAAGAGCTAGTAGGTATAAAAAATTTAGCTTTTATACTATAACGAAAGTATATTTGTAACTTTCCAAAGTTTAGGGGTGTCTGGTAAGAGGAAGCAACTGTCATAAGTGTCCGGCAATGGATCATGAGATTTCTACAGCTATCCCGAAGAAAACATAAAAAACTGAGCTTTATGCTATAACAAATTTTAAGTACTATTTTATATACCTTTACTACCTGTTACCTGCCCAGGTAACCACAACCCAAACTCTATAGTCGTTGGTCGTTCTTACCTGTATAGGAGGCATATGTACAGAGAAAATTTCAACTTTTATAAAATAAGGAAAGTCTGGTCGTCATGGGTTAATAGAAACTTTTTACAAATAGTAGTTGAATGTACATTCATGTACAATATAAAAGTTTTTTCTTTTATAGTAGTATAGTATTTTCATTTGTAATTAATTCTGAAGAATTCTGTCGGCATTATGAATTTTGATGCATCGTCACTACAAAGTATTAGAGAAAGTCGATTTTTCTGTCCCTTTATCTCTTTTTATACTTACTTAAATCTTAAAAACCAAGCAACGGAATTTGATGAGGTTTTTTTAAATAGATACAGTGATTGAAGAGGAAGTTTGATAGTTTGATGACAGGTGTCCGGTAATGAATGGATAACCTTGAAATGCTTTTTAGTATATTTTATGAATTGGCATTCAGAAAACAATACGTATAAAATAAAGTAACATATAGTTTAAATCCATTAAATAGTGGAGAAATTTAGTATCAGTATTGCATTCGTACAAAACTGGGGCGGGACGCTAGTGGGTCATAAAAACTGAATAAATAATTTAAAAAAGCTTTTTATTTCTTACATCACAACAGGGGTTTACAAGTTTAAGAAAAAGAAAAGATATTTAAAGTTACATTAATGCTTTGAATAAAGAATAGGTAAGTACGTATTGTTAAGTCAAGTAAAAAAAAACGTTCATGTGCAAAAACCCCTCCTTAAGCGAAGGTGAAGGCCTCCTCTAATGAATTCCATTTTTCTCTATCTTGGGCTAATTGCGTCCAGCAGAAAAACTGGCATAAAAACTGATTATTTCTCTTCAATTACTTTATAAACTTAAAATTCCCTCTTAATGTCCCTATACCTACCAACATTTACAAATTTTAATATTTTCAGAATTATGACGCTCCAACTGTCAAAGAGTGAACCAATTTCATACTTTTGATAGAAAATTAAATAGTCTTTAAAAGATAATAAAGCAGGAGCTTGAACAATCATTTTTAAAGGTTAAAACAATTTCAAATTAAATTCTCTAAACGGCGGACTAAGTAGTAGTTTTAATCAACGAATTACAAAAAAAAACAACTAAAGACATATAATTGTTTCGTAGATAGTTTTGTTTAATTTTTGATGATAGCCTCTACACGTGGCATGTAGGAATATTCGTTAGTTTCCAATTTTTAACTTATGATAAACAAGTTTAGTTATACTGTTGTACGGTGAACAATATTTAACTGTTCACCACACCACATTATTGATGTTCTATTAAAAATTAAACATCAAAACAAATTAATTCTTTTTGAAAATCAGAGCCTCAGCTTGGAGCAGGAGAAGGAACGGCGCCGGCGGTGGCTTTTAGTCAGTAAGAGTCTGATAATTCTTCTCACCTTACCCTAGGCAAGAGAAAAGTCATTCGATGAAATTCCTTCACCAAAAAAAGCTGTTACCAAATTCTACAAAAAGGTGTATTTTTATATTACAACCACGGATTACAACTTAGCTTTCGATTCAGACCAATGTTTGGTCTTGCAGCCTAGACCTACTTACTTCATTCACTATACAGCATACTAATTTATTTTACTCTTTCTCTTTCCCTCTTATAGAGCTGGTAGGAACGTGAGCGAGCTGGCAGCTCTCCAAGTCTACTTCAGCAAATCAAACTGCAACTGCTACAAGTTGACTCTACTGATTGACCTAAGCTACTTTGTCGGTATGTATGCCATACTTTAATAATGAACTTTATGTTTGATGTGGTAGGGATTAAAAACCGGTTGCCAAACATAATATTTTTGTTTCTAAAAATTTTTGGTTATTCGATTTATTGAATCTATAATGGAATTCGTTGAATTTAGTTTTATTCCAACTAGATCACATACAGAGTTCTGACCGAAATTTTGTTATTCTTTTAAATGTAAATTCAGTAATCTCATTTGTAAAGTTTAGGTTCAAACATACAAATGCAATATTTGACATTTATATTAGTTATTGGTAATTCTCATCAATTATCATTTTTTTTTTTTGTATTTTCTCATGTGCTGTGGAAGGCAGTAATAAGGATACTATTTCACATACACGGCCTGCCCAGGCCCGAAACAACAAATAATGGATCACGCAAACAATTGTTCCGTGCGAGAATCGAATCTAAATCACGTTGCACGGCAGTCGGTTGCCCAGTCACCGCTTCAACCGTGCAGTCAAAAGTAATCAATACTACTAGGAGTGATGGATTGAATTACATTTCCTTACAACTAACCAAAATTAACAAGACATGAAGCAAAATAAATAATTCTGGAATAAAGCCGCAGACAAAAAGAAAAACATCAAACCTCCAAAATATTCCAAACGACCAAAATTCAGAACTTGTTTCAAAACTCACTGTCTAAACTCTAAAGGGACTTCTTTAAAAAAACCAAAGAATTAAAAGCTTCAAAAGTAGTGCCAAAGTCTCTTGTATTTACTTGATAAACCTACTTTCTGATAAGTCCTTCAAAGTTGTAGGTTTTATGAAATTCTTCGAAATTCGTTTGGAATTCGTAGCGAGGCGTCAGTTACCAAATAAGTGAACAAACTCCTAGAATACCAACACGAGACCCGGCATTTATTATTTATTGGTCCGAATAAAAGGTTCGAAAAACACCCAAAGACTACAGACAGACGGGAATTCAGTGAAAATTGATCTGTTTGTCATTGTTCGGAAAAATATCTTTAAACAAGTTAGTTCCAGTTCATTATTGCTTTTGAGGTCAACAAAATACGTTAGAATACTTTTAGCATTAAAATAATTGTAATATGAGCTGTTTTATTATTGTTTTAACCAGATTTACATCAATTTATGCGTATTATAGAACTATTTTCCAAAATCCTTTGTACCTTGAAAATTAGTCATAATTCTTTGACCGTACCGTTGGCGTGGTTGCCGGTCAACCGACTGCAGCGCAATGTGTCGCGCAAAAACTCTATCTTTTTCTTTCTTTTCTTTCTGTGATCAACAATTGTTATCTGGGTCTGGGTTTCATGTGTATGTGAAATAGTATATTTATAAACGCAATCTAGATACAAAACGCTAGTGTGGGGCAACGTATAAAAAGTACACCTAGTCCTACAACTATTTACTTTCTACCACCATTTACTACTATACTGTTCTATCAAACTAAATTTTGCAGAAGTCTAGTCAATGTTACGCCAATGTGCCTGTCTAGGCTTTGCACGATACAGCCCCAAGACTTAGTGTGAGACGGTGCCAACTCCATCCCACAAATTAAGAACACTTGGGTTAAGGCCAAAAGATAATAAAATATTCAATGTTAAGATAAATCCTACTAATACGAAACACGTGAAGCACTGACCGAAAGATTTTTGTTAGTATTTTAGTGTCTAATACTTTTATGTAGCAAAAAATGGACGACGGAAATAGACTATAATCTGTACTAACATTATTTTGTAAATTTTATTTTTTGGACTTTGGCCCTTAAATTTGTTTTCATGTCATTTCTGCATTAGCTATCAACCCAGGTGGCAATAGGAAATTTGTGTTTTATTTGAGATTCTGACTGAAAAAGCAGTAATTTTGGAATGCTTGTCTTATGGGTGTTGCTAATCGAGACGTCCGATAGGCCTTCTTATAATGTAGGTAACCGATGTATTTAACTTCCAAGCTACTGTTTGAAAATTACCAGATCAATCATTATCATTGTAAATACAACTCCAATCCTTCATAATTACTCATCGGCTTTTAAATTCTTGAGAATCCCTAAATAAAATTTGCTCTTTGTTTGTTCATTACAGCGTGGTAGATAATTAAAATAGAGTCCAGAAGCCGAGTGTTTTGAAAGACGTTGTTATATTGACGTCAATCATAATTTGTACACTGTTATGAAACCGTTAGTTATTTTAGGTTAACAAAATTAATGAGAAAAGATGTTTTTCTCTGATGATCTCTGATCTGTTCTGATTTCTGATCTGATCTCTGATGATGATGATCTCGAAGATATTTTTCTATAGTTTAATAAATAAGAAAAACATTTTCGTTTTTCCCAATTTAATTGGCCTCTTGCACGCCTCCCAAAGGTCCAAGACCCTGTGGTCTCATGAATGGAAACGAATACTAACAATAAGTAATAATTGCGTAATAGATTTGTCTACAAATTGGGCCTCCGATAACCTCACTGACACGGCGAAATACAACGTAAGTATTATTTCTCTCTGGTATTCTGTAAGGTCACGGTCACACTCCGATTAAGCCAGCCCATTCACGCGGAAGAATGGCTCTTCCACACTTCAAAGACTCGTGGTATGACAATTTTTTTTTCAAATTACTTAATTTCAAGAATTCTTTCCTGCGCTTTACAAACATATCTGTTACTGTAAAAAATCACAGTAGACTGGGCCTTGCCCCGGCAGTGGGACGACTTCAGCTTATAATAATAATAATTAATAAACAGGGCTATTATAGGCAATAAACCTGATATAGTGGTGGTGGACTGAAACGAGAGGCGTACAATGATCGTTGACATAGCCGTCCCGCATGACGAGAATCTTGTGAAAGCCGAGAAAGATAAACTAATTAAGTATATCGACTTGTCTCGCGAGGGTGTCGACATGTGCGAAGTGGATTCGGCTATCATTGTAGTCCTGTCAGCATGGCTTAATAGCCAAGAGCCTCGACCAACATTTTAGGAAGCTCTCGTTAGGTGGCTGGACCTCTTGGACTCCCTGGAGCCAGCCAACACGATTCTAGGTACCGGCTCCAGGGAGAGCCAGTACCTAGAATTGTGTTCCCGATACAGGTGGGACACTACTTTTTATCTTTAAATGTTTTTTTTTATTTTTCAGAAATATTTAAAAATATATGTTTATATAAATAAAGGAAAAACTAAATAAGACATTCTAAATTTTCAAAGCCAAACAAGTAAACTCTGTATAAATTTGATAGCATTAACTCGTCAATCATTCTATGCTAATGAGCCCTCACACTTCTCATGTGACATTCACCGAATGTTCCCGGGGGAAGAATTTACATTTGCCAACAAAAAGATAGTACATATATAGTCACGTGGCACCGGGCCCTATCATTTGTTTCTTGTTTAGATAAACTTTACCTTTATGGTAAGTTGTGGCCTGTAGGTTAAACTTGTGCTTTTTCTGTGCGGTTTCGAGACCTGGGAAGTACCGAAGTGACTTTTTCAAAGTTAGATGTAATTCCTAAGATTATTTAGACAATAATAACGGACGATGAAGGAACAGATCAAGAGAAAACATATAATTAATGTCTTATTATAAGTTTGGAATCGACTATCCGTCTTGAGCAGCGTGTTAATCAATACTCAAACCTAATGTTTACACTCTCGCCCTTTCGGAAAACGCTTTTGCGTACTGCAGTGATCACTTATAGGCTGATGACAATGATGATGATGATGATTAACCCTGTGGAGGCATATTTTTGTCTGTTGTAAGATAATCTCAATAATCAATATATGAATTTTATGTATTTGTAGTAGTAGTAGTAGTAGTAGTAGTAGTAGTAGTAATGTGTAGCAAATTTTTTTAGAAGAAGATTTTTCCATTTATTTCTGGAAAGAGTTAATTTTGATTTAGTTCATCCTTGGTTTATTACAAACTTATCTACGACTCACCAAAAACGGCAATTGAAGCCGCCAATGGACACTAGTTACACCATTTTTTTTTTAATTATCATTATTTTTTATTATTTTTAAATTATTATTTATTATTCTTCAATTGTGTTCGAAAGGCTCAATCTACCATAATAATCTTTGAAAGCACAAAACCAAACATTTTATTTTCGCAGTTATTTAAACTTACATTTATCGTTATTCAGTTCATGCATTTAAAAATATTTGTACAACATTTATTATAGTAGAGGAATAAGCATGAAATTAAATTAAACAAATATTCGTAACTCATTTTCCATTTATCCGCACATTCCTTTGGAGTGTTGAGATTTTAATATAAATCCTTTAAATCAGCAAAATCCTACATTAAAATGTAATTTCTGCTGCGACAGCGTCAAAGCACAAACGAGTGTAAACGTCGAGTATTTTAATTATGAAAATGTTTACCTCCTTCTGTGTCAGGTTTACGATTTCATCATTTAAATATCTGCAGCCTTCAATCAGCTTTATAATTGAAATTAAATTAATTTAAAATAACTATTTATTCACGTGAAACCACTGAGAATGGGTCTAAATGTGAAAACTTGTGGGAGAGCCATGCTTCGCCACGAATGGGTCGGCTTGATTGGACTGATACCACGGCCTCATAGAAAACTGGCGTGAAGCAACCATTAAACTTACCTATGTTATGTTTAACCTTGTGAGTGAGGTTACCGGAGGACCAATTCTTACCCTCTCGCCCCATCTTCAATCCTCAAATCCCGTATCCATAAATCCCAAATAACTATTTGTAGTGACTCATTTGGTACTATGAGTGTCCTTGGGTGGCGCTGATTGCTTTCATCAGGTAATCCATCAGCTCGTTTGCTGACCTATGACGTACCGTAAAAGATTGTTTTTACTTAATATACTTATTTTTAAAATGTACACACCATTTAAAATTTTGCTTACATAATTCTAATATTAAAAAAACAAACTACAGTGTTGGCTTGACCATAGTGATACTACAGTCTCACAGAAAACAAGCGTGACATAAAAGAATCGTTATGTTTCGTCGTGTATGTTTATTAGATTATTGGAGGTCCAATCATTCTCCTCCTC